ATTCCATCAACTCTCAACCTAGTTACTCAGAAAAGGAAATAAGTTAACTTTGGTTTGATTTATTTTTATTGATGGCATATCCGTTTTGCTGCATTCTTTTTCACTTATTCACTTTGTATCAAATAAGTAATTTTCCTCAGGATAAACAGTAACTTTATTGGCACATATTTGTTTTTCTTTTTCAAATACCAAGAAACATTTGTTTATCTTCTCTCTCCTTTCCATACTTTGTGGCTCCTCAAAGATAGTAGTGAGAAGTGTAATTGTTACCTAGAGCATAGGGTATGGAAGGAATTGTAATGTAGGATGGGATCAGATTCTGGGGGCCTTGAAAAATAATAACAAGCTTGTCTTTATTAGTAGTTGAGGGAGGAGGGCTTCTGCATGTTTTAGAAAACTGTAGTCATATGATAGCTAATCTAGTTTTAGAAATATTAGAGAGTAAATGATTAAATGTGGAAGAGATGGCAAACATAGATAGGGTAAAACTTTTCAAAAGGTAGTCTTTAAGCATTGTAGGCAGGACCAAGTCTGTTTTGTAAAGTATTTTATACTTATTGTCTGGCAAGTACTTTTAATGTAGTAAGCCATAAATAAGTGTGTGTTGAGTGACAGTAGTAAGAAGCACTGAAGCAGCAGGCAATCAAGAAGGGATTTGATAGTGTGAAAGTAGAATTCATAGAACTTAATGGCTAAATATGGATTGCAGGTGGAGACACAGAGATGTTGAAGATGTCTCTGAGGTTCCAGACAGTGTGATCAAGAGGATGATAGATCATCAACAGGATAGGGAACATAGAGAGTTCTAGGGAAAAATGAGAAGCCAGCAGAACAACCATGTTGCATGTCTGGCAAATATTTCAAAATTCAGTGCTAGAATTCAGAAGGAAGTAGAACAGAAGCTACACAGTAGAAACAGCATCTCAGAGTGGCTACTGAAGATTGCATAGAACAATTAAACATTTGTGACCATATATAGGTTGCTTAATATTTTGAAATAATGTATATAAGGCACCTAGTATTTAACAGTAGGCAAAAATGTTAACTTCTTTTCTCCTCTCCTGTTTGGTGGCAGCTAACTTATTAAAGAGCATTGTAGAGAGAAACAAGAGCCTGGACAAAAGGCATCTGCATTTAGAATAGGAGAAAAAAGAGACAAGATATCCTCAGGGTTAGGATACAAACCAAGAGAATAGTTATGGGAGAAAGGTTTCAAGAAGTGGTAACAGGTGTAAGGAGACCATCAGGTTGGACAGTTAGGTGGTCAGAAAGAGTTATTTTAGTTGTATGATCATGGCGAAAGACAGACTGAGAGGATTTTAAAAATGAACAAAGCTAGTTTCTCTAATATCCAGCACCCCATGCACCTTGTGTCTATGTTCCGGGTGCGGATTTCTAGAGCTGGTTGTTTAGCAGTCCTGGGCTTTCACTCTCTCCCCATTCCGACTCCTTTCTTCCCACCAGGTTTTTGGGTGGGGGAGCATTCAGGTCCCACCTGGCCGTGGCTTGTATCTTACCCCCTTCATGTGGTGCTAAGTTCTCGCAGATGTAGATGTATCCTTGGTGTTGTACTGCATCCACTGGTGTCTCTTTTAGGAATAGTTTGTATTTATTGTATTTTCATAAATATATGTTTTGGGGAGGTGATTTCCTCTGAACTACTCATGCCGCCATCTTTCCATGATCCTTCTACTCTGCTTTTAAATCCCTCCATTGTATGTTTCATTTCAGATATGGAATTTCTTAATGATTGAATCCCAATCCTAAATTCATCCCTGAGTTCTTGAATATTTTTCTATACCTCCATGAGCATGTTTACGATTTTTATTTTGAACTCTCTTTCTGGAAGATTGGTGAGTTCAGTTTCATTTGTCCCTTTTTCTGGTGTTTGTGAGATTTTTGTTTGAACCGGTTTCCTTTGATGTTTAATATTTGTTTGTGGCGCCCTCTAGTGCCCAGAAGCTCTAGTCTCTGGAGCTGCTCAGTCCCTGGGGTGATGTCAGGGTTTTCAGGGGAGCAGCACTGGTGCCTGAGGGGAGGAAAGAGCTGTTTGCTTTTTCCCAGCTGCAGTGCCTTTCTCCACTGCCAGAACCAGTGGGCTGAACACATAGGTATCAGCCTCTGTGCTTTGCATCTGTAGCTGCAATAGGCGGGGCCTCTCTCTGGCTGGCCTGCTGACAGTGCTGGGACTGCTGGTTTGTGTGCTGGTGCAGGCAGGCCAGGAGGAAGGTGCGGCAGGCCGCATATCACAGTGGGGGGCCTCAGAGCTGAGTAGCCATCCAGGGGATAGAGCGCCTGAAGCTCCTGAAAGTTCCCAACCTGTTGGGCAGAGCATGCCCAGATAATCTTGTCCACTTATCCCTTCTCCCACACAGCAAGCTTCCTGCAAATCCCGCCCCTTCAGCGCCCTCTTGCTGCTAGGAAGCCTCTCATACCCCCCTCCTTTCCTTTCTCCAAGGGCAGCCAGATGTGGATCCCTGTCCTCCACAAACGGTGAGATCTGTCTCTCCAAGTATTCTGTCTATCTTAGCTTTTCAACCCCTCTAATCTCCAGAGCACCATGCAATGTAGGTTTGTACTCCCAAAGCAGATCTCCAGGGCTGGGTGTTCAGCAGTCCTAAGCTTCCACCCACACCCATTCCTTTTCTCTTCCTCCTGCCTGTTAGCTGGAGTGGGGGGAAGGCCTTGGGTGCCGCCAGATCAAGGCTTTGGTACATAACCCTGTTTGTTGAGGTCTGCTCTGTTCTCCAGGTGTATGCAGTCTGGTGCAGCCTTCTTTCCTGTTGCTCTTTTAGGATTAGTTGTGTTAACTATATTTTCACATTATGTGATTTTGGGAGGAGTTCTCTGTCTCACCTGTCATGCTGCCATCTTGAATCCGACCTCTGCCCAGATGGAGGATATCACATTTGTCGTTAAGTTTGATCTTAATAGATTTTGCCAAGCTTTTCCTCCATTAAAATCATCTAAAAGTTAACGTGATACTTATCTTTCATAAAATATCTTTAAGCTTTGTCAATTAGGTATTTGATAAGTATCTTCTCTACTGCCATCTGAATATTTATAAAAATTTCGAAGGTGGTATACTGCTGAGCTAGGGAACAATAATTCTATAGATGCTTCTCTCAAAGTTGACACTTGAAGCTAACAAAGTCCAGTTTTACCATTTATAGTAACATTGTGTCCAGATAATTCCATCAACTCTCAACCTAGTTACTCAGAAAAGGAAATAAGTTAACTTTGGTTTGATTTATTTTTATTGATGGCATATCCGTTTTGCTGCATTCTTTTTCACTTATTCACTTTGTATCAAATAAGTAATTTTCCTCAGGATAAACAGTAACTTTATTGGCACATATTTGTTTTTCTTTTTCAAATACCAAGAAACATTTGCTTATCTTCTCTCTCCTTTCCATACTTTGTGGCTCCTCAAAGATAGTAGTGAGAAGTGTAATTGTTACCTAGAGCATAGGGTATGGAAGGAATTGTAATGTAGGATGGGATCAGATTCTGGGGGCCTTGAAAAATAATAACAAGCTTGTCTTTATTAGTAGTTGAGGGAGGAGGGCTTCTGCATGTTTTAGAAAACTGTAGTCATATGATAGCTAATCTAGTTTTAGAAATATTAGAGAGTAAATGATTAAATGTGGAAGAGATGGCAAACATAGATAGGGTAAAACTTTTCAAAAGGTAGTCTTTAAGCATTGTAGGCAGGACCAAGTCTGTTTTGTAAAGTATTTTATACTTATTGTCTGGCAAGTACTTTTAATGTAGTAAGCCATAAATAAGTGTGTGTTGAGTGACAGTAGTAAGAAGCACTGAAGCAGCAGGCAATCAAGAAGGGATTTGATAGTGTGAAAGTAGAATTCATAGAACTTAATGGCTAAATATGGATTGCAGGTGGAGACACAGAGATGTTGAAGATGTCTCTGAGGTTCCAGACAGTGTGATCAAGAGGATGATAGATCATCAACAGGATAGGGAACATAGAGAGTTCTAGGGAAAAATGAGAAGCCAGCAGAACAACCATGTGGCATGTCTGGCAAATATTTCAAAATTCAGTGCTAGAATTCAGAAGGAAGTAGAGCAGAAGCTACACAGTAGAAACAGCATCTCAGAGTGGCTACTGAAGATTGCATAGAACAATTAAACATTTGTGACCATATATAGGTTGCTTAATATTTTGAAATAATGTATATAAGGCACCTAGTATTTAACAGTAGGCAAAAATGTTAACTTCTTTTCTCCTCTCCTGTTTGGTGGCAGCTAACTTATTAAAGAGCATTGTAGAGAGAAACAAGAGCCTGGACAAAAGGCATCTGCATTTAGAATAGGAGAAAAAAGAGACAAGATATCCTCAGGGTTAGGATACAAACCAAGAGAATATTTATGGGAGAAAGGTTTCAAGAAGTGGTAACAGGTGTAAGGAGACCATCAGGTTGGACAGTTAGGTGGTCAGAAAGAGTTATTTTAGTTGTATGATCATGGCGAAAGACAGACTGAGAGGATTTTAAAAATGAACAAAGCTGAAGCTGGGATAACTATAGTATGATTTCCAGAGACTGCAGTATGGCTTCAACTAGTTAGAAGACAAGGTTTAATAGACTAAACTTTAAATGGTGATAGAATTTGGGTAGAGAGGCTAAAATGTTATAAATAAGGAGGAAAAAGCCTTGTTTTTTATTGGGCTAAGGAAACTATTTGTTAAATAATGATAAAACCTATAAATAGTTCAGAGTCGAATAAGTAGAATAGTGTCAGATTATAGGAGCACTATGGAACTCTTGAAAACTAGGGAAAGAAAACTGGATTTGGGGTTTTTTCTTAAGCATGTTTACTACTGATATTAAGTGAGAATTATAAAATGCAGTCCTTACAGTTAGTAACAAAAAAAGTAATGCCAAAATATGCACTTAATTATTACTTTTATGCATGGTTATATGTTTGACTTAATTAGATAATATATATTTTTTGTATAATTAGACTTTTCTTTCTTTTAGGTCAACTTTCATTCTATGATGCAAACTCAAAACAGTTGTTGTATTCCTTTAAGATGAAATTTACTCAGCCAGTACTACCTGGTTTCATGGTTAGTACCTAATTTATATTTTATTTGATTTGACATCTTGAAAGAGAACCGTCTATGCTGTATATTTGGGGAACCAGAATCTTATTTTTTCTTCATATTCCTCTCCCTTTCCCTTATCCACTTCTCTCAAATCTGTGATTGTATGTATATTTTTGGTATATTTTATTGAAGTTAAAGTTAATACATAAAAATACTCAAATCAAATCTGATGAATATTCATAGAACTGTACTCATTATCTAAATCAAGCAATGAACTATTTCCAGAACCTCATAAGCTCCCTTATGCTCATTTCCAGCCCCTAATAGCCCTCTTCCAAAGGTTGTTATCTTGAGTTTTAATACCATAAATTCATTTGGCTTTCTTTTCAAATTCATGTAATGGAATCAAACTGAATTTGTTTGGCTCAACATTTTGTTTGTGAGATTATGTTGTGGTAGTTCACTAATAGTATTCCATTATATGACTATATCATAATTTATGTATCCATTCTAATGTAGTTGGATACTTTGGTGGTTTCCCTTTGGAAACATCTGTAAGTAGAACAGCTATGAGTATTCTTGTTCATGTCTTTTGGTAAATGTATGTATACATTTCAATTGGTTATATAATTAGGATTGGGGTTGCTAGATCATAAGGTAACTGTATAACCAACTGTAGAATGGTTTTCCTAAGTCATTGATTATACTAATTTATCATCGGTAATATATGAGAATTTGAGTTTTTCTACATATTTGTCAAGATTTGGTGTTGTTCTTTTTAAAGTTTGGTCCTTACATTGTGATTTTCATTTGCATTTTCTTGGTGACTAGTGCTGTTGAACACCTTTTTATATTCTATTGACCATTTGGTTATAATCTTTGTGAAATAGTTGTTCATTTCTTCTGCCTGTATTTCTATTGGGTTCCCTTCTTAGTTCCCATTGGTTGATTTGGAGTTCCTTATATATTGAGTCCTTTGCTAGGTATATATATTGCAAATATCTTTTCCACTCTGGCTTTTCTTTTCTCTCTCACTGGTGTCTTTTGATGAACAAAAGTTAATTTAAATGTAGTTCAATTTATCAATATTTCATTTATGATTAGTCCTTTTTGTGTTTTAAGAAGTCTGTATTCACCCCAAGGTCATGAAAATATTGTGTTTTCTTCTAAAAGCTTTTCCTTCAGATACTGATTGCATTTACAGTGCAAGTACAAAGAAGAATTGATGTGTTTGTTGTGAAGTTGGGGTCAGGATACATTCTTTAATTTCATATGGATATCTGCTTATTCCAGGACCATCTATTGAGAAGAATAGCCCTTTTCCATTACAGTGCAGTGTCATCTGTGTATAATATTAGATAATTCTATGTATGGTAGGCTGCATGTGTATGTGTCTCTGCACATGTATATAATTTAAGGACTACTTAGTTTCAGGTTGGTGTATATAATAAAAACATGATTCTCCATATAAAATGAAACTTAGTTTTGAATCTTTTTTAAAGCAAATATTACTGTTTTATGCTTTGCATTTCTCTATAAAGTTAGGGGCTACTGTGAGAAGATCTGCAATCCAGTTAAGATCATCATTATTCTGGCTAGAACTTGGGGGCTACTTCTACAAATCTAGGTGCTATATTTCCATTGCAGACTGGGTGGAATGCTTTGTATGTATATTCTAACATCATCACCCCTAACTGTAAATCCTCTCAACCATGAGGAGAAAGGATTCAGGTTATAGGTGGGTTTAAAGTACAGTACTTTTAAATCTCAAAATTGATAATGATTTACTCTAGATACCCTAAAATCTTAAAATAAGTTTAGAATAATGCTAATACCATGACTTCTACTTTTTCATTAAAAAGTAAAAGTGATTAGTGAATAAAGTTACTGTTCATAGAAAACTACTTAGGGATATTGCAAGTGGTATTTTTTTTTTTACTTTGTCACAAAACTCTGCTGTATTATTATGTATTTTTGGCTGCTTTTCCAAATTGACCAGCTAGAAACAAATTTTTTACCATATGAAAATCAGTTATTTTTTTCCCCAAGTCTTAAATATGTTTTGATAAAAGGGGAGATTTCATGTTTAATTTGAGTCACTCTCAGATAGATACGTAGTGAGTTTATTATTTTTTCATTCCAAACATACTATTGTAATTATGCTAGTAAATGTCATAAGATGCTTTAGGAAATGTACTTACAAGCTGGTTAAATTTTTTATTTATCTTTGTTGTTCATTGAAGACTTGTTTTTATTAACTAGGCAAATGACTGTTAAATGTTTTGTGTGTACAAGATTAATTTTTTTTTAAGTCAGGTTTATTGAGGTATACTTTATAGAATTACAATTCTGTGGGATCTGACAAATGCTTACAGTTTTATAACCACCACTATAATCAAAATACAGAACATTTCTATCGCCCTAGAAAATTCCTTCATAGTCCTTTGTAGTGGACCTCTCCTATTATACTCAGATGTAGCAGTCACTAATCAGCTTTAGTCTCTATAATTTTGTCTCTCGCAGAATGACTATCAAAGAAAAAAATGGTATGGTATGTAGATTTTTGATTCTGTAGTATATTGCATTTGAAATTCATCCATGTTGTTTTGTTTGTCATTAGTTCCTTTTTATTGCTGATTAATGTTCCATATTCGTTATGTACCATATGTTACTCAGTCATTCACCAGTTGAAGGACATTTAGGTTCTTTTCTTTTTGGCAACTATGAATAAAGGTACTGTAAATATTTGCTGTGGCTTTTTGTGTGACTATTCATTTTCATTTCTCTTGCGTAAATAGCTAGGAGTGAGGTTGCTAGAGCACATTGAAAGTGTATGTTTAACTTTATAAGCTACCATGTTTTCCAAAGCATTTGTACCATCTTTGCATTCCTACTAACAATATATGAGAGTTCACCACATCCTTGCTATTATTTGATATTGTCAGATATTTAGTTAACAAGCAATTTTAACAGGTGTATAATGGTATTTCATTGTGGTTGTAACTTAAATTTTCTTTCCTAAGTGATGTTGAGCATCTATTTTTTCATGTGCTTACTTGCCATTTGTATCATTTCTTTGATGAAGCCTTTTAAAAACTTTAGCTCATTTTAAAAATTAGGTTGTTTACTTTTAAAAAAATTACTTATTTTTTAAAGTATCAATGATATACAATCTTATGTTGGTTTCAATATACAACACAGTGTTTCAACAGTTGCCCATATTATTAAATCTTCACCCCGCCTAGTACGGACACTGTCTATCAATGTAGTAATGTTACAGAATCATTAACTGTATTCTCCAACTTATACCTGTACTGCCAACTTATATTGTGATTGTGAATTATTGTACCCCTTTATCCTCTTACCCCTCCCCTACAAACTCCCCAATAACTCCCTCTTTGTAACCACTATTCCCTTTTTGGTATCTATGAATCTGTTGCTATTTTGTTCCTTCTGTTTTGATTTGTTTTTATATTCCACAAATAAGTGAAATCATTTGATACTTATATTTCTCTGCCTGGCTTATTTCACTGAGCATAATACCCTATAGATCCACCAGTGTTGTTGCAAATGGGAGGCTTTCTTTTCTTTTTATGGCTGAATAGTATTCCACTGTGTATATGTACCACATCTTTTTTCTCCATTCATCTATTGTGGGGTACTTAGGTTGCTTCCATATCTTGGCTATTGCAAATAGTGTGGCAATAAACATAGGGGTGCATATGTCTTTTTGAATCACGGATTTTGTTGTTTTCAGGTAAATTCGTAGTAGTGGAATTATTGGATTGAATGGTATTTCCATTTTTAGTTTTTTGAGGAACCTCCAAATTGCTTTCCACAGTGGTTGCACCAATTTAAATACCCACCAACACTGTAGGAGTGTTTCCATTTCTCTGCATCCTCACCAACATTTATTTCTTGTCTTTTGGATAGTGGCCATCCTAATTTGTGTGAGGTGATACCTCATTATGGTTTTAATTTGCTCTTCCCTGATGATTAGTGATGTGGAGCATCTTTTCATGTGCCTGTTGGTCATCTGTATTTCTTCTTTGGAGAAGTGTCTGTTTAGGTTCTCTTCCCATTTCTTAATTGGGTTATTTGTTTTTTGAATGTTGAGGCTTATGGATTCTTTATGTAATTTAGGTGTTAACCCCTTATCAGATGAGTCATTTGTGAATATATTCCCACATACTGTAGGGTGCCTTTTTGTTCTACTGATGGTGTTCTTTGCTGTACAGAAGCTTTTTAGTTTGATGTAGTCCCATTTGTTCATTTTATATTTTATTTCCCTTGCCTGAGGATATGTGTCCAGGAAAAAATTGCTCATGCTTATATCAAGAGATTTTTGCCTATGTTTTCTTCTAAGAGTTTTTATAATTTCATAACTTATATTCAGGTCTTTGCTCCATTTTGAGTTTACTTTTGTGTATAGAGTCAGACAATAGTCCAGTTTCATTCTCTTACATGTAGCTGTCCAGTTTTCCCAGCACCAGACTTGTTTTCTTATTAGTGAGTTTTAAGATCTCTTTATGTATTCTGGATATGGGTCCTTTATCAGATTAATGTTTTGCAAATATTTTTTCCCTATCTGTGGCTTTTTTCATGTTCTGAATTTGAAGAGATATGTTTCATTTTGATGAAGTCCAGTTTTTTTCTTCCTTTTTTTATGGATCATGCTTTGCCTAACTCAGGGTCACAAAGATATTCTTCTTTGTTTTCTCCTTGACGTTTTAGGTTTCTTACATTTGGATTTATCCATGTTGAGTTAATTTTGAGGTAATTGGTATCAGGTATGGTTTGAGATCTATTATTTTGCGTATGGATGTCTAAGTGTTCCAGTATCACTTACTGAAAAAGATTAGCATTTTCCATTAATTTGCCCCTGCACCTTCATGCTAGATACTTTGAATAAATATTTTGACAAATCACTTAAATAATTTCCAAGGAAGTAATATGATAGTTTTATAATCAGAGAGTCACTTTTGTATTTTGGGAGTTATCACTACTGAACCTGCTAGTTTAAAAAATCTAGATGTTAATTATGTATTATAAATTTTTATGGGTCAGTAGATTTTTTGGTACAATACTGTAAGGATATGATTAAAGGTGGGAATACTTCAATAATTTCTACCGTTTTCCTTGCCTTAAGCTTTTGTCTGCTACATACATGGCAGTTCATGATCTGTATTCTTAAATGATCCACGTTTTCACATTTTAATTCTCTTGACTCTGTTCTATATCATTTTATTGAATGATAGCTGCTCTGTTCACAGGCAAAACAGTTTTATTTTTCAAAAGCTCATATACATATATGATGATAGCATATGGCAGATATATCTGGATATCACCATTTGCATTATTCTCAGAAGTCCTTAAAGAATTATAAAAGAGTTATTATTAACAAGTTAGGGAAGAAATTAATGGATTTTACTGTGTTAACAGGGAGCAGTGCTGTTAGTTTCCTAGAGTCTCTCAGGTCACATCTTATTAATTATCAAAATCTAAAGCAGTAATTGGAATAAGGAAGTTGGCTCTTGTGCACTTTTCTTAGTTGTAAAGTTAGCATCAGTAATGATAACCTATATCTTTTGCTTAGCTTAATCCAGTTTGATCTCCAAATTTCTGCCGCCTTTGTTAGGTCCCTCTCTGGAGCACAGTGGGTGCTCCAGTCTTGTGCTCCAGTGGATTATGCTTACCACAAAGACTTCCTCTGCCCTCTGTGGTTTAAAAGATTTGAGTTAGCCTTTGTGTCTCCCCTTAGTTCAAATATGGAGGTTATCAGTTTAGAACTTGTTAATGTTCACATACTTAGCGTTTTGCCTTTCAAATGGAAATTTTAAGAATCTTTTAAGTTCCAATTTGACTTGACGTTTGACTGAAGCTTTGTTTTTGTCTTTTCTTAGGTCTGGTGTGGTGGACTTTCTTTGAGTACTGGGATGCAGGTTCCAAGTGCTGTAAGAACACTTCAGAAAAGTGAAAATGGAATGACTGGTTCAGCTAGCAGCCTAAACAATGTTACTCACTAATGCCTATTTAGAATATGCGGAGCCCCCTTTTGATTGGGAGGCCTTTTCTGTGCAGTTACTAATCACTGAAGTTACGAGTGGTGGAAGTCAGGTTTGCTATGCTCTGCTTTAAGGCCTGGAATCTGTTAGCATTAAGCATCTAGTAGGAAGCACTCACAGGAACCTACTGTGCAATATCGTGGAAGCAGGCACATGTCAAACAGGAAACCGATGTTTTGAAGAATAAGTGAGAAAGGTAGTATATAAGTAGTTACATAGAAACCCACTTTTGTGTTTCTTGGATTACTTTGGCTCTTCTAATATGTTTAGTTACATATGGTAGCCCTAGAGCCTGAGGGAAAAGCATTTAAATCTTGCCACCTCTCTCTATACTTCCTTTAAAAATGAAAATTGCAGCACTACCTATTATTTATTTCTTACACTGAACTTTAAAAATAAACAATCCTCTAAGTTTTTATGAAAATTTAGTAATTGGGGATACTGGAAGGATCTTCTTACAATGGCTTATTTTTTTCCTTTTTATAAATGAGTTTTGCTAAATTATCCTCTAATGTTTACTGACTAGATTGTACATCATTTTCTCTTTTCTAAATATGATATTTCTCTTGTGGTTATGACTGAAAATAGAGAGTGGATAGACTTAACAGCTTAAAATCACTCAAACTGCAGTTCTTTATCTGTTGCACTAACAGTGGCAAAGGAGATCGTTATTGTCCTGTGGAGTAATTCAACTTCATTCCATCATTTTAAATGAGGGGTAAGATTTTTCAAAGCTTTATGTTTTCTGATTTTGTTATCTAGTTTAATACTACCTTTAATAGTTATCTCTGGTAAAATTCTCACTTGAGTTTGGTAATAACTGATAATTATATTGATTTTTAACATTTCTAGTAGGAATTAAAGTTTATTGAAGTTATCTAGAAGGCAGAAAAACCTATACTACTTAAGTTTTATCTAAGAAGGATAGGTTATAAAGAGTTGCCTAAAACTTATTTACTGAAGTCATTTATATCTGCTTTTTCATAAGGTATGGAATGGGTTAAAAATAAGTGTTTTGAAAAAGCCTACATATCTCTGACTTATTTGGCACATGACTATTCAGAGGTTATTCTCTCAATCCTTTTGCTACATTTATTTGCTTTCTTAATGGGTATAATCCTTTCAAAAATCAATATAGACTCAAAGTTGTAATTACAGTATTTGAGTTCCTTGAGCATTTTAAAGAGGTCTGAACTTGTATATTCCTTGATATTTGAAACTCTTTTAAATTTTTCATGTTGATTTTCTTTCATTGATATTTTACTTATATTGTACCATGACACTTTTCTCCCAAGAAGTGGCTTGCTGCTTACATATGAGTTGCCTTTTACAAAAAGGCCTGTGAAATAGGAATAGCCTGTTCTTTCTTAAAGTTACTGCTTAATGATAGGATGATTAGCTAATTGAGCAATTTTATTTGAGCTGAGTATTATTTTTCCAGAGGACATTCATATCTGCACCATTATCTATGAAACACTGGTAATTTTAAAGACTATAAGGCAGTTTAGAGAATGAAATATGTCAATAGATATTCTTTTACTTCTCCCAAAAAATATAATTTTGGATTTTATTTCTCCTAGAGATTTTGAGAAATCTCTGGATGTTTTGTTCCCTACAGTTGGGTTATTTAACAATCTAAGGAACCAGGAAGCTATTACTGTCTTTCATAGAGGCAAACCTGAAAGGAGTAACTTAGTGGTGGTGCTGTTTTATGTGAACAGTTACACATGTATATTTTAGCAAAAATGACACAGAAAAAGCCAGGAGTTCTTGTATAAAATTTTAACTATTATGTTTTTATATAATTGTATCTTCTCTTTAATTCAGTGCCTTCTTCCTCTAAGCATGCTCTTGCTCCATGCCCCATGTCAACTGATACGTAGGCCAGCAACCATTATGTTATTAAACTGGTGAGGGCCTTCTATTGCACGGGGTGTATGGAAAAGGAAATATTAATCAGGGGCTGGAGGAGTGCATATGATTCTTTCCTGTGCTCATGATATCATTTGAAACCCTTCATAGTTTTTTAATATTCACTTGGAAAATTCATTTGAAGTAATGCTATTATACTTCAGAATAAAAATCTGAGGTTTTCCTCTTACTGTGCTTCTTAAAAGTCTCTAAAGATAAAGAACAAAATGTACAGGGTTTTAGGTTAGTTGTTTTGTGTTTATTTGTGTTGAGTTAAATTGGAAAAAGTTTGCCATTCTCATTTTCAAAGTAGAAAAGAATCAACTGTAGTGCCTATTTAAATAGTTTCAAATTAAGGTAACTATTAACTTGGCCATACTCATTGGCGTTTGAACTAAAATTGCTCAGTTTTATTCATTATGGAAAGTTTTGATATACCCTTTTAAACATCCTTTATTAGTTTATTTACCCTTTGTTTTGATAGGCCAAACATGATTGCTTTCTGTAAAAGAAATGCATGAGAGGTTGACAGTAATGGATGTATCACAGGTGTAAAAAATTGTTTTATTAAAACATGCATTAGTATTACATTTCTCTTTTAGCAGTAAATCCCAAACCAGTTTTAGTAAACTGGATAAAGAAATGAAAGAATTGCCTTAAGCACTTTAAAAAATTTTTTTGTAATTCATTTTGACTCTTTGGACTGACCATGTCACATATGTCTTTAATGTTCGGTAAATATGTATATGCTAAGCATTTAATAACTGAATGCATGTAGAAATTTAATATACAGTGATCTTTTGAGTGTTCCAGATAGGTAAACAAACTGAAAGTATTAGGGGTGTGCCTGTCTGTACATGAATTTGATTTATGGTGTCTGTACCATGTTGAGAAACCATGAACTGCTGCTGTACAGCTCTATTTGGCCTATTTTATTCTGTGCACAGTAATTTTAGCCCACGTTATCATCTAAAGACACATATTGACTTGGTTTTATTTACTCATTTATGAAATTAAAGCATGAACACTATCATGTATAATTTGAATTTTTTGTGACTGGTCCTTGGTGGTATAAATAATAAAAGTAATTTTTAATGAAGTCTTTTAATTAGGCCAAAATACTCTATATCATGACTTACCTAGAATGATTAGTTTTTTGCTATATACTTTTCCCATAAAATTATAGTCAGTTGTATAATTTTAATTGTTTCTTTTGGAAACACTGGAAAAAAATAGAAAAGGATAAAAAAATTGGAAAATGATTATTTCAAAGAGTATTAATTTTAGAGAGAGTGTAGACTTCTTACTCTAAAGTATGTGATTTGAGGCTAAAAAAACTAAGGATCATATTTTCAAATCATCATAATGTTTTTTAAAACCTGTATTTGTTAGATCAGTGTTCACTCATTCATTAGCTGATTCATACATCAAATATTTAAGTGTCTGTGATAACAACAGTCCTACTTTACTTTCAGAATTCTAAAATTAATGAAGTTTGATGTACTGTGAGTATAGTTTTGCTGCTACTGAGTGGTATGGCAAAGTTTACATCTTCAAAAACAATGTTTTGAAAGTAGATTTGTTAATTTTTAAAAAATTCAAATTAACTTCATATAATATAGTTCACTTTTATATAATCACATAAAATGGGTCTGGAAAATTTTTCCCTTGATTTTATTTTCACACTGCATATATTATTTTTTATTTTTTAAAATTCATTTGAAGTAATGCTATTATACTTCAGAATAAAAATCTGAGGTTTTCCTCTTACTGTGCTTCTTAAAAGTCTCTAAAGATAAAGAACAAAATGTACAGGGTTTTAGGTTAGTTGTTTTGTGTTTATTTGTGTTGAGTTAAATTGGAAAAAGTTTGCCATTCTCATTTTCAAAGTAGAAAAGAATCAACTGTAGTGCCTATTTAAATAGTTTCAAATTAAGGTAACTATTAACTTGGCCATACTCATTGGCATTTGAACTAAAATTGCTCAGTTTTATTCATTATGGAAAGTTTTGATATACCCTTTTAAACATCCTTTATTAGTTTATTTACCCTTTGTTTTGATAGGCCAAACATGATTGCTTTCTGTAAAAGAAATGCATGAGAGGTTGACAGTAATGGATGTATCACAGGTGTAAAAAATTGTTTTATTAAAACATGCATTAGTATTACATTTCTCTTTTAGCAGTAAATCCCAAACCAGTTTTAGTAAACTGGATAAAGAAATGAAAGAATTGCCTTAAGCACTTTAAAAAATTTTTTTGTAATTCATTTTGACTCTTTGGACTGACCATGTCACATATGTCTTTAATGTTCGGTAAATATGTATATGCTAAGCATTTAATAACTGAATGCATGTAGAAATTTAATATACAGTGATCTTTTGAGTGTTCCAGATAGGTAAACAAACTGAAAGTATTAGGGGTGTGCCTGTCTGTACATGAATTTGATTTATGGTGTCTGTACCATGTTGAGAAACCATGAACTGCTGCTGTACAGCTCTATTTGGCCTATTTTATTCTGTGCACAGTAATTTTAGCCCACGTTATCATCTAAAGACACATATTGACTTGGTTTTATTTACTCATTTATGAAATTAAAGCATGAACACTATCATGTATAATTTGAATTTTTTGTGACTGGTCCTTGGTGGTATAAATAATAAAAGTAATTTTTAATGAAGTCTTTTAATTAGGCCAAAATACTCTATATCATGACTTACCTAGAATGATTAGTTTTTTGCTATATACTTTTCCCATAAAATTATAGTCAGTTGTATAATTTTAATTGTTTCTTTTGGAAACACTGGAAAAAAATAGAAAAGGATAAAAAAATTGGAAAATGATTATTTCAAAGAGTATTAATTTTAGAGAGAGTGTAGACTTCTTACTCTAAAGTATGTGATTTGAGGCTAAAAAAACTAAGGATCATATTTTCAAATCATCATAATGTTTTTTAAAACCTGTATTTGTTAGATCAGTGTTCACTCATTCATTAGCTGATTCATACATCAAATATTTAAGTGTCTGTGATAACAACAGTCCTACTTTACTTTCAGAATTCTAAAATTAATGAAGTTTGATGTACTGTGAGTATAGTTTTGCTGCTACTGAGTGGTATGGCAAAGTTTACATCTTCAAAAACAATGTTTTGAAAGTAGATTTGTTAATTTTTAAAAAATTCAAATTAACTTCATATAATATAGTTCACTTTTATATAATCACATAAAATGGGTCTGGAAAATTTTTCCCTTGATTTTATTTTCACACTGCATATATTATTTTTTATTTTTTATTTTTTATTAAGGTATAACTGATATATGCTCTTATGAAGGTTTCACATGAAAAAACAATGTGGTTACTACATTTACCTATATTATCAAGACCCCACCCATACCCCATTGCAGTCACTGTCCATCACACTGCATATATTCTTTTAGGGAAGTATATGGTCAGCATAAATTTATTCAGTGTCCAGGCAACCATAAAGTTATTTGTTATTTCTAACCAAAATGTCCATTTCATAGTGCTAATAGTATAGCATTATAAGAGATCATGAATGTTTCCTTAATCATCACAGAAAAATTACCTCATGTTCAGTATAATTTTAGTTTTGTGCATATCTTACAGTATTCACATTTTGCAAATATTTGTGATCCTGGTATGTCATATATGATAGCTTTGTTACCTGGAACATTTGATTAATGTAAATACTTTAAGCTTCTTAAGTAACTTGGAGTTTAGATTACGTTTGGTATATGTTGTTTTTGTTGAAAAGATAAATTGTTGGATATGCCATATAAAGGTTAGTATTGGCATATAAATAAGTAGAAGAGATTGCCATAGTACTTTTCTCCTCAGACCACGCAGTTATTAAAACAGTATTTGTTATTTCTGGGTCAATAAAAGGTACTGACTTTTGATTCATAATCATTTGAGTTGTGTTAGTTTTAACTGATCTATTTTCTTAATGGTACCCATTAAATATAAGTTGGTTCTTGGGAATGGACATGAGAGGATTTCACAGTATGTAGGGCAGAAGGTAGGTGAATGTGTTTGCTTTGGCATGGAGTTTCTTAAGTTTGGACCAATTTTAAAATAAGTCAAATTGTAAATGATTGGTAAGAGGCATTTTTATTAGTATTAGACATTTTTGGAGAGCCTAAGAGCTATGAGAATACTTTTTTTTAACATTTCCAATATCTCTAAAGTACCAAAGCATTGAGTCTAGTTTACCATTTAAGGAAGGCTCTTTAAAATCAAATTTATAACTAATTCACACTATAAGATATATAATAGCTAAAGTGTTGGAGTAATTTATATTAAATCACTAGTCTTTAAAAAAATTTCTGGATATAACGAAAAATATTTTGGCTTCATTTCTTTTAAAGTATTTAAACTTAGTTCTCATCTGCTAGATCTGTGACCTCTACATAAATCACTTACCATCTTTGGGCCTCCATTGCCTTACATAAAATAATTGTAACTTGTTCAGCCTACCTCGCAGGGTTGTTGTGAGGAATAAAATGAAATGGAGTATGTGAAAGTTGCTTCAAAAACAGTAAAATGCTTTGTAAATGTTTGGATACTTTTAGATGCCATTTCCTTGATTAAAGCATGTGCTTACAGTGCTATCACCAGAACTAAAAAAGTGATTGAAAAAAAGAAAAACTAAACCCTGATTAAAACATCCTTTAACATTCTTTAGTTTGTGCATGACAAGTGGCCTTTTTGTATTTTCTCATTAAGCCTGTTACTCTTAAGTCAAGACTTTCTAGAATTATGTAACTTGTCCCATGGCATTAGTATGTTAGTGTAGAATAGTAGCATAATCAAATGATTTAAGCTGTGTTTCCATTCAGGCATTTGCACTTTCAAATGATGACTTCTCAGTGCCACATGCAAAGTTTGAATTTGGTCTAAATAATTTTTTTCCCAAATATCCAAATAGTTTGTCATCATTGGATAAATGGTAACAGGCATATGTGCCCACTTAACATTTGACAACTTTTGTTGCATTGTCATTTTTAAAAAAATACGAGGAAGCATTTCAAAACCTTGTTAACCTGGCTATCATTTAGTATCCTGACATATGTTTTGCTTTCAGTTGAATTTATTAAACAGTTTGCAGGTCTTGGTCTACAGGTTATTTGGTATGTCTAATCATTATGGTTTTGCTATGTGGTTCTGATAATGAAACTTCTAATTCCTCAGGTTTAACATTTAAGTTATGGATGAAGAACATTAATCAACTACTTGTAATGTATTCAGTGCTGCATACTAGTGTTTTAATAAGCATATTGCCTCATTATCCTTGAAAACAAGACAAAGCCTTTTAAATGGTTTTTAAACTTTAAAATAGAGTATTCAAAGTGGAGTAATTTGTATGTTGAAATGATTGTAAATTCTGTATAGAATGATTGAGTTGTTCTTACAAAAGCACCTGGAATATCTCATCTAGTATTAAACATTTTTTCTGTTTCCTTTTGCTTCAGTGTTTACATTTCTTATTATGTATTATTTATTGTTGCAACTCTCATTAAATATCTACAATACACTGTTGAGAATGTGAAGATTAAAAAAGTCATAGTCCTTTTGCCCCAAAAGCTTATATTTTAGAGCAGTGCTGTTCTACATAATTTTATGCATGATGATAAGTTCTATATTTGTGCTGTCCAATACAGTAGCCACTAGCCACAGGCAGCTTTGAGCACTGTGGCTAGTTAAACAAGGTACTACATTTTAAATTATAATTTAAATGTAAAGAGCTACATCTTGCTAATAGCTGCTATTTTGTATAGTGCAGCTAGAGATGGAAGATGAAACATACTATAAGTAACTTACATAAATCAGAAACTTAGTTTCTGTCTTTGGAACTTGACACATCTTGAGTTACATTTTGGTAGATGGTAGTAAGGTAGGTAGTAGAACCAGAACCTGTGCCTATAAAAAATTTGTGTTCTAACTTGAAATCAGTTTAAGAGAAAAAAGAAAACCAGTCAATGACTAGATGAGACTGGAATTCCTGTAATAATGGTACCTGTAAACATGGTACGACTAGTAATTTTCAGCAGGAGAGGAATGAAGGGAGATTGGGTAGTCTTGATTCATAGGGAGAGGAGTGTGACAAAGTTATTGAGAAACCAATACCCTCATGTAGAAGATGGACTGTGAATGGTGCAACATTTCTGGAGAACCATTTAGCAACATCAAGATTTTAAATACACATACCTTTGAAAATTAATTTCTAGGTATTTCTCTGACATACATAGTCATAAATAAGCCAATCCTTATTGCAGTATTGTGACAGCAAAATATAAGCAGCCTGATTGTTGAAAGAATGGGCTACCAGGATTCTGAAGTCTCCTTTTCTAACTTGCTGTACTAGCAAGCTACCATTATTATGTGCTTGTCTAAATATATTCTGCATTGCCCCTCCTCCACCAACAAATGTTCTAAAAATTTAGACCATTATGGGGGTTGATTTCCTCAATTAGAGACCTTCCATGGTATATATACCCAGTCCTGTTCTGCCTGGTTGGATCTCTGTAGGATACTCAGGAATTTGTACTGTATTTTTCTGTCCAAGTGTTTCCATTACCAAACCCTTTTTTTACATTTACACTGCATGGTACGACTAGTAATATACCCCTTTTGCCCAAGGTCACTGGGATAATTAGATGGTGGTGCTTCAGCAACCCTACACAGCTGTTACAGACTATGCTCTTAATGGAAGGGTATTCGTGATATTATGAAATGGAAAAAGCAAGTTCAACAGCATATGTGTGTACGTGTAACTTCAATTTGGGCATGAGGGATCCCTTACCCTCTGGCTGTGCCTCCCCCCATGGAATGAAAAATTGAAGCCACTTGGATTCCATGTTCACTTATTCACTATGCACCAGATAACCAGAGCAGCAGAATTCCCTGCTGGACCAACCCAAAGATTGCTTCCAGAACACTGACAGGCCTCTTCCCCAGGTCCATCCTGAAGACAGACTGCACTACAGGTGTATATATCTCTATACTTAAGAGTGGGGGGCAGTTTGTAAGCAGTGAGGATGGAGCTTGGATGTGTCAACGAGTGTCCACATGCATGCATACCAAGACCCTTAATGATAAGATGAGCAAGAAGTAAAAGACAGACTCAGGGTCTTGGGAGAAGAGGTTGACCTAGTTCTCATGCTGTCACTTTGCAGCACAGGTCTGAAAATGCCAAGTTTGAACCTAGATTTCCGTTCCTTTGGAAGAAGTATTTGTCAAGGTAGGAGGAGATACAGTTGACTCTTGAACACAGGTTTGAACTGCGCAGGTCAATTTATGTTTTATTTTCAGTAAAGATGTACAATTTTTTTAAAGATTTGTGACAATTAAAAAAAACTTCATTTTCTCTAGCTTTATTGTAAATACAGTATATGATAAATATACAAAATAAGTTAATTGGTAAGAGTAAGGCTTCTGGTCAACAGCAGGCTATTAAGTTTTGGGGGAGTCTGAAGTTACATGTGTTTTTTAGACTGTGAGGGTGGGAGTCGGTGCCCCTATTCCCCACATTATTTAAGAGTCAACGGTATGTATATTTGATGGTTAATTCTTACCTATTTAGACACTTAAAATATGTCAGAGTTGGCCTCCATTTGTATTCTTGCCCCAGACCCCACTCTGTTAGGGTGGGCCAGAATATGTGGTGTGCTCCTGCATCTGAGTGATTTTTAAGATGGATCTTTGCCTATAATAGACAGTTTTTACCCTCCTTTAGGTAGGTAGGTTTAGCTCAGGCTAGGCTCTTCTCTAGTATGCTGGAGAACTATGCTCCCACCAGCTGAGGTTTACATTTACCTCCAGTTAGCTGTTTGTTCCCAAACCTGTTTATGCCAGTGGCAGTTATTTTTGTAATTATATACTTTAAATATTACATAAACCAATGAAATATGAGTATGAAGTTACTTCTAAGTGGGGGAAACTTGAGATGAAAAGCTAAAAAGCAATTGCCCAAATAACTGTAAATGATAGAGGAGAACAGCAAAAATAAAAATCGAGCACTTTGAGTTCAGATTTCTTCACTTGTATATTTAAGTTGATTAACCTACCAACTACTAGTTCTAAGTAATGAGGATTCTACAGAATGAGCTTGTATGTACACACTATATTTCTGGAAATGAAAACTTACAAAAGTCATAAACCCTGGAAAATGAGAAAAAGACTTTAAATATGTATTTTCAGTTTTTACTACGGGCTGTTAATTGTAATTTTGGGGGAAAGTTTAAAATTACAGTAAAATTACAATGCTTTACAGTTTTTGAAATTTATGTCAAAGCTGATACCTTTCTGATCCTTACCAATAATTCTCTGCATCACACTGTTGAAAGTTAACCAGGCACCTAATTGTATGTGTGTGTATTTCCAGCCGTACACGGAGTAAACAGTCCGCTGGAGTTCGGATGTCTTGCAGGCACCTCAATCCCACGCGCAGCATTAAAACTCAGCAGCTATTTCCTACTCTAGCCTCCATCTCACTCTAACCCTCCATCTCACTTCATGGTACCCAAACCAGAATCTAGGGAGTTACTCTGAATCCCTCTGCATAGCACACGCACTGAAAAATTATTCGCTGTTCACCTGCAAATTCACATTTAACTGGCATCCTTTATCTGGCAAACTCACACGCTTTGGTCAGCTGGTGTCTCTATAATTCTTTCCCCTTCCTAAATCTCAGGTCGCCTCAGTGCGCTGCTGTAGTTACCCAGGCAAGAGGTGAAAGGGCTTTGGCGCAGTGCTTAGATCTCCAGAGTTAAGAAATCTGGGCTGTGAGAACTCGGGGAGGTAAGGAAACGGCAGCCGCACCCACAAGCCGAGGTCCGGGTCGGCCTGAGAGAGGCGCCGCACTTGACGGCCCTTTTGCAGCGCTGGCTGAGAGTGCCGTAAAGCGGATTGCCGCCGCTGATGGTTGAGGTAAGGTCGTGGGAGTCCCGGCTGGGTCGCCAGGGATGGGCAAACGCCTTCAGACAGGTGTCGCTAGTGGCTCGAGTGCCTTCCCTGGGCATTGCCCAGCATTCCGGACACCTGCCCTCCCCGCAGAGGCCGCGGCGGGCCGCAGGTTTGCGCGCTCCCGGCAGGGGTTTCTTAGCCCTCGAGCAGCTCGTGGTACTTGTCCCCCCGGGCCGCTCTTCCTGCGCTCCTGGGCGTGCAGCAGGTAGAATCCTCGTCCTGGGACAGGTTCTGTTTTGGAGGGTGATTAGACCCTTGCAGGACTCGGGTTGGGGTAGTGAAGTTTGAGCAGGGTCGTGAGCGCCGTCTCGGGACTTGCGAGAGCGTCTGGGCGCGGCGAGGGTGGGGAGAGCACCGCAGTTGTAGGGCCCATGTCTGCAAAGGTAGAGAAGCATGAAAGGAGCTGCCAGGTTTTAGCAGCACGGCATATTAGGATCGTGGCGGCGGGGATGAGTGCGGGGAAGAGAAGGCCAGGAATGTGGCAGGACCTGATGTTGGGTTCCGACTGGGAAGGACCCTGCTGCCCTGTGAAGGAGTGTGTTCTCCCGTGGGCAGTGGGGAGTTACCACGACTTCATAGGAAGGGGTCATTTAATTAGCCATTCTTCCCCTTTCCTCTTCTGAATTTACCGAAGCACCCCTTTGTGTGATTAATAATTGGTGGACAGTGCTAGCTATTCTGAGTAAAGTTGCTTATGGTTTTGACGTCTGCCTTTTGCTTGTATCATCAATCGGGGGATGTCAGGAAAGACCGGATATATGTAGAGGTGGCAGATAGAAACTTTGGATAGGCGTACAGAGAACCGAGTTAATATTTCATCGCCGTTACAAATTTCTTAAGTAAAACAAGGCAGGTCACTTCTCTCTGCGCCTCGGTTTTCTCAGGTATAAAAAGAGGGCCTAGATGACACCACATTCTTTCTGACTTTGAAGATAGAAGGTTTCCAAAGAGTGAACATCAGCCTGTGAAGAAATGATCAGAGTGTGTGAGGGAGCAGTGAGTTAAGAACTGAGGAAATGGGGAGGAAGGCTGGGATTGAACTATATATGCTCTGTGGATGGATAGTTGCTCAACAGAGATAGTTGAGCACCTTGGATAAAGACACAGAAGGCAGAAGTGGGCGTTTGTATTTTAGAATCTAGTTGTGCAGGTAGGTTTGAGAAGACAGAGGGTTTGAGAAGGATAGCACTGGATGTTGAAGGAACCCAAGTGGAAAGAAAGTGCAGTATATTCTGAAAAGGAAGAAAAAAAGGAATGAGAGAAATGTCTATAATATACAGGACTTGATTTCTTGGATCCAGGTGATTGATATTTTGAACCTGGCTTTCCAAAAAGTGAATTTAAGTGCTTTAGCTCTGGTGTTGCCAGTAGCTATCCTCTTGGGCTGTCGTTTAATTCTTCTGGATCCTTTTCTGCTCTGTAAAGTGTTGTTTTTGCACTTAGTGGTCTCCTCTCAAAGTGAAGATGTGGAACTACTCCTTTTGAGGGGCGAGGGAGATAGTTGATGAGAATTGTTAATTTTGAACATGTTAAATTTGAGATGTAGACAACACAGTTGGAAATGTAGGTAAACGGAGTTCATAGACTGGAATTTAATTAAAAGTTTTCTCTCCAAGGCAGTGTTAAAATCTTGAAAATGAATTTGCCTTAAGGAGAGATCATAGACAGTAACTAGAGGATGTGCCCACACATGGAAGGTTAGAGAAATGATTGAGAGAGACATGCGGAACTCAGAGCTGTGAGCAAGAACTCCTTTTAAAAAAGATTACATGTAGGCACAGTATATTCTTAGGGCCAACATTGTTAATAAAAGAATTTAACGGCATTTACAGCAAGTATTAGGTACCCACTTCTGGGAACTCTGACAGAAAACAAAGAACTCGAATAGATATAATCTCCACTTTCTAATTGTGTACAGAAGTAACATCATTTACACATGTATTTATTTAACAGTTATTTGTGTTTGAGGCGCTGCTGGGTGCTAGGGATATACTGAGGAGCAAGGCATGCATTGTTCCTATCGTGCCTGCATGTGAAGGCTTCAGCAGTGAGGTGCTTTTCATATTTTCACGTACATATGAATCACTTCAGGATCTTGTTAAGCTATAGGTTCTCAATCAGTAGATCTGTGGTAGGGCTTGTAATTTTGTATTTCTGACAAGCTCCAACATGATGCTGGTACTGCTGTAAGTAGCAAAGATCTAGATCCTGTCTGGCAAACGTGGCAATTATTAAACCACAACTACTACCCATTATCTGTTTTTATGAAGAATTTTATTGTGTTTATGAAAATAATTTATGCTCATTACAAAAATATTGAGACAATGTAGAAAAGCTTAAAGAAAAACATAAAAATCACCCCATTTCCCACCATCTAGAGGTAATCACTATTGATATTTTAGTGGATATTTGTTCATTTAAATATGTATATATATTCATACTTAATATGTTGTACTAAGTATGTGCCACACTCTGAGCCCTGTGTTTGATTCTGTTAGTTTTACAGTTTTACTAAGATCAATGTCCAAATATCCTTAAGCCAGCAAGTAGGTACTTGCATTCTTCTTTTTAATAATCTTAAGATTTTTTAATGTAAACAAATTAATACAAGTTAATGTTTTAAAGGTATATACCCCAATTTAAAAATGGGCTAATGAACATAGGTCATGAACATAGGTCTAATAGAAGAATGACTCATGTCCAAAGGATACTCATTGGAACAATGAAACATGTTTTCTTTCTGTCAAAAATTATATTTAAAAATCTCTGTTCAAATTAGATATATTAATAATCCAGTGTTGCTGAGGTACAGTATAAATTATTATATATATATTTTATATATAAAAATTGGTAGAATTTACTTGAAGTGATTTGTTAACATGGATTTAAAAAGTGGTACTTGCATTCTTGAGGGGAAGACTACTCAGTTAAAAACAACTTGGCTTAACACCGTTCTGTTACTCCAAAAATGGGAAGGTATTAACATAAATCTTAGAATGTGTGGGCTGTTGTAAATGATATTTGTTAATTGACCCACAGAATTGGAAAAGACTTTTTATAGTTTTCTAAAAAAACTTACTTTTTAAATTAGAAAATCAACTGATGTTCACATAGGGTAAACAAAAGAAAAAGAAGAGCAGCTGCACTCCTCCCAACCCAAAGACAGCCACGTTCTTACTCTGATGTGTATGTCACCTAAGGTAGCTCTTAAATGAATCCACCAAATAACTTATGTACATAACATTTGGGTTAGAAGAAATCCTTGTTCCCTCAAGTTCCTGCTGCCTTTGAAATAACCGTCATCTATTACTTATACTCTGTAGTCTTCTGACAGGGAGCAGCCCGCAGCTAGCCCAGGGTCTCACACACAGGGTGCAGTAGTATTTGTGAACTTAATGGAAGAAGGAATGAAGCAACAGACCAAACTGTCCTGTGTGACATAAACTCTGGGTGTCACTCTTCACCTTGCAGCTGCTTTCATTCAATTCCCATCTCAAATACTTTTGTAATTTCCTGGGCACGCGCAGCTCTGCAGGGGCAACAGAGATCCATTGTATGTATAAAGCTGCCTTTTAAGTCTACGTGCTTGAAGTTCACTGTGCAAGAATATGGAATATGGAATCCTGGGGAACAGGGAAACGTGTATGATAGCATCCTGTCTCAAGGAACTGTAAGACTGACAGCAAAAAAACAAAATTAGTACAACTTTACAGTGCTGTGAGAGTATATGGGGCAGGGACTTTGAGAGCAGAGGGAACTACTAGTAGACCTTTAAGATGACTATTGTTAATTATTGCTAGCATTTTATTGTATATATTTATCATGTTAGGTGATATTCAGTGCTTTATATGTATTAATTTGTTTAATCCTTAGAACAACCCTGTGAGTCAAGTACAATTATAGATCCATTTTAAAGATGGAGGCATAGAGAGATTATATAACCTGCCCAAGGTCATATAGGCTGCAAGTGGCAGAGCAGTATCTGAATACAGCAGTCTGTCTTTAGGACCTGTACTCTTGACTACTCAGTAGATAGTGAGGGGCTGAGGATGGGAGGAGAAGGCATTGTAAATGGAAGGAATAGCATAGGCAAAGGCTCCCAGAGGAGACACCACTGTACCAGTGGGTTCATACAGGGAGTAGTGCTAAGAAAGCTCTAGAAGGCCATAAAGCAGGGGAACTGACACAAAGTTATACTATAGAAATAATTGGACTTTGGTCCCTAAGGTGCATGGCTATTTGGAAGAAAGCCTAGTAGCAGAGTATTCATATAGGGGGTTTTCTATATAAGCAGAGGGCCTTTAAATTAGGCTAACTATACTGGAAATGGAAAAGAAATGACAGCATTTAGAGGCACTGAAGAATATATATATAGTTTGTTGACTGGTTAGATGGGGAGTTAGAACCACAAAAATGATTTTATTTTGAACATAAATAATTGAGCAAAACAGGGATATCAACCATTAACAGAATAGAGGGGCCAGTCTGAAAGAGCTCTGATTTGAGGGTGGTCAGCAATTTGTTTTAGGTGCTAGAGGAATGTTCAGGAGGACATATCCAGCAGTCTGCTGGAATATTTATAAGTAGTAATTAGCCAGTAGATAATGGGAAGTATACCTAATAAAATGGTTAAGAGGATGTAAAGAGAACATCCATCCAGATTTTATATTAAGCACAGAATAGCAGGCATATTAGCCAATACCATTTCCTTCACCCTTTTTCTTTGCCCCTGACATACTAGTCATACTAGCCCTCATATCTTCATTTCCTTTATTACCTAGCCTTTGTTTATCTAGGTCTGTCATTTCAGACAGTTTCCAAAACCTCATCACTGCATGATCTTTGGGAAAGGAGTCACTATAATATTTAGTGGTTTTCTGTAGCATTAAATGGAGAGACTAATATGTATTTTTTTTTATCTTCAAGTGTCAGCATATAGAGGTAGAGACAAAGGGTGAAGAAGAGAATGAGTGGTAAGTAGATAAAGAGGCTTTATCTACAGACTTCTTAACCCCTTGCAGTCTGACCTTTACTTTTCACACTATTGACACTTGTGAGAAGTTAGCAGTGAAAGGAAAAGAAAAGAACAGCTGGATTCATGGAAATGGAGGAGGGCATTTCAGACAAGAGGGAATGAGCAAAAGCAGAGGCAGGAAAGGGTGGTGTGTATTTGAGGATACTTGGGCAAAAACCATACGGTGAGAAGTGGGAGAAAGCCTAGAAAATTTGCCTGTGGTCAGTCAGATTGTAAATACCCATAAATGCCACTGTATGGAATTTGAATTTTATTTGTAGGTGTTAGAGAACTATTGAAAAATTTTGACCATGGCCTAACTTGATTCATCTGTCAGCAACTTGGTATGTCTGCCAATGTATACATAAGATTAGGGGTAGGTAGAAAATGGAGACATCAGTTAAAATTAGGACATCAGGTACAATTAGAGTCTAAATTAGAGTGACAGTGAAGATATGAGGAGTTGATACCAGAGATATTTTAGAGCTAAAATCAATGATCCTTGGCCTCTTTTTTTTTTTATATATAAATATCATATTCATTTTAAAGTGGAAACTGCATTCCTAATGGGAGAGTGCTAGCAGAAAGGAATGTTTTGACAGGCCAATATTCCTTCTTTGCAATTGAATTGCCTTGGCATTTATAGAAAATAAATAAGGTAATTGGATGTCATCTTGATAATATAAGTGTACTTAAATAGTTGATTATAAATTTGCAGGTTTATTTTATTTTAAGATGTAATAGTAGATTAGAGATGGGTCCAAAGAGACAACAAGATGTTAATTTGGACTTTATCTTTGTGTGATAAAAGGCCTATGTAGGCCTTTTATGCTTTCCATTTGTTAATTCAAGTTCAGAAGAGGCTGAGCCATGGTACACTATGAATGTTTAGATTCTACTAGGAATAAGTATACAATATGTTGATGCACTATTCAATACACCTGCAATAAACTGGGCTGAAATATTTAAAATGAGGGTATTCTTACTATCTGGTGAGCTGCTGTTATCAGAGTATGGAATTGTTTTATTTTAGCAGGTCTTAGCTGACAGCAAAAACTAGTACCATCATCAATGCTTTATGTTGCTAGTTTTCACAGGAGCTAGAACATGATCATGATTTATTCAGTTATCATTGCTTTATACATTTTCTGTAAATCAAGTGGATTGATCACATCATTGTTGTTTTGATTTCTCTTAAGTGTTTGTTTCATAGCTTCTGCTTTGTATATATAGGCTTTGGCTCTGGAAGCTCATGTGGATTGGTTTAAAACCCCATACCAAGACTTCTGATTTTGAGTTGGCAGAGTAAATGCATTTGTGCCTTCTTCTATCTGAAATTACCCTGAAACAACAAGGAGAATGAGAGACAGATATAGTTGTATTGGTGATGAGACTAGAAGCCCTATAATAACCACAAACCAAAATATTTGAGAAATGGTTGTCAAATGTAAGCAGGAAGAGGTTAAGGGAGAACTCTGAGAGGAGGAGATTTCAGAGCTGGTAGAGCAATGAGAGATCTGTTTACAGTGGGCTCAGGGTGCAGGAAGGCAGTGGGTGCTTCCTTGGATTGTTTAGCGACATGGACTACAGGAAAAGAGAACTCTGAGAGGAGGAGATTTCAGAGCTGGTAGAGCAATGAGAGATCTGTTTACAGTGGGCTCAGGGTGCAGGAAGGCAGTGGGTGCTTCCTTGGATTGTTTAGCGACATGGACTACAGGAAAAGAGCAAATGAGAAAGCACATACATACACCATCTTTGCAGGAGGCACTCTCTTGGTGAGGCAAGAAGTAAAGGCTAAACAACTTTCTCTTGCTTCTTACACACATTCTCTCTGTCTCTCCCACCCACACAGATGCATACAACACTGTCACGTAAGAGGTTTCTTGTATACCAGAAGACTGTTTTCCAGGCCGGAACAGAGTCTTGTTTTTTCCTTCCATAATCCTCTTGCAAGTAACTGAACTGAGCAGAGTTCATGTAATTCAAGATAAATAATACTAAAAAGGAAATGCACATAGTATCTACACAAAAAAAATGCTTCAAGAAGAAAGGATTTTTAAAAAGACAGGAAAACAAGTGACAGAGAACCTATGAGAAAACTGTGCTGGCCTAACAATTACTTCTTTAAAATAATAGACAAAGTTAGTTGGCTTAGGAAGAAATAGTATGACAGCAATATTTGGGGAATCATCATCTGGTAGAGCTCAAGAAAGAAAAGCAAAAAATAAAATTAGAGAAATAAAAGACCACATTGGAAGCAAAAGGAGAATTAACATGGTTGAAAACTTAGTAAAGGATATGATGACAGACTTCTGAGAGCTGAACAAAGTGAAATGGGAATGAAAGGAGATGAAACAAATACTTGATTGTAGTACTGGAAATAGAGAATTCAACATTCGAACAGAAAAATACTCAAACATTTAACTTAAGAAAATTTTCCTCTAAGAAAAGAAGTCTTGATTCTACATTGAAAGAGCATATAATGAAGAAAATTAATATGTAATCAATATCATTATATAATCTAGTTTTTAAAAACTGAATTTCAAAGGTAAAGAATGTGGCCTTTGCTCATCCCATTCATAAGAGCAGTGTGTAGGGGAGTACTGGAAGAAGGACCAGATATTTTAAGGAAATATTTAGCATTATGGGACAGTGATACAAGTCACCAGGGGAAAGGAAGTGTGACCTAAAGGCCAAACTATCAATTGAAAATTGTTTTTGAACAATGCAAGAACTGAAGAAAATAGTGCCCCTAAGTTCTTTTTGATAAACTTCAAGAAGATAAATACCAGCCATCCAGTAGATGAACAGAGATGACTGAGCAATAGAACGAGGAACATAGAGAAGGCATAAGACCAAAATAACTGAAATCTGTAGTTACAGAATATAATAGAACTGTAACAATGTAGAAGTAACTAATAAAAGTTAGGATTAAAAGAGGAGAAGGCAGGAGGTAGTATAAATTGGCTGATTTCATCTTGTTTTTTACCTATTCAGTAATAGAGGTGTTAGTATATTGTAAGGAATAAACATAAACACTTGGGGAACTAAATATGTTTAACTAAAACAGTGAAGAGGAGATAACTATATTTAATTTTTTGTCCTAAAGAAAGAACAAAAATTCTATCATGGCTTTCTTTACAGTTGACAAAAACTGGAAACATGGAATGTTTATAAAAATGACCATGTGCTAACTCACAAAAAGCAGCATTTGTCATTCAGATGATGCTTCTTGACTAAAACTTTCTCAGTTTATCTGTGGAAGTGTTTCTTAGTGTGGTTGGAAGCATCAGCATTGCCTGGGAACTTGCAGGGAGCAAGTTCCAAGGGCCCCACATCAGATCTGCTGAATCAGAAACTCTGGGGGAGAAGCCCCCCCAATGTCTGTTGGTCAGTTTTTATTGATACCCCATTTTTGTTTCCTGTTATTTGCAACTGTAAAGAATGCCATGATAAACATTTCTATTCTGTCATGTTTGCTGTCATGTCTTTAGGATAGGAAATGACCAAATCAAGGAATGTTCAGTAGAACCTTAGATAGCTTTGCTTTGTACTTCTGCTGATTATGAGAGGTGAAAAACTAAAAATAATTTTTTGTCTCTTTAGAAATATCGTTTTGTTGATGGAAAACAAGATTATCTTCTTATACAAAAAGATGAAACCAACTGAGTTACTTTCAAAAGACAACCAAGTGAGTGCCACCGACTAATGAGTAGAATCAATAAGAACGTGATTTTGGCACTTCTAACTTTGACAAGTTCTGCATTTCTGCTGTTCCAGTTGTACTACTATAAGCACTATTTATCAGCAAAGGTAATTTTTTTCTCCTTTCTGATCATTAGATTTCCTTTTAGCTGTATATTTTCCTAACATACTTGCCTTTTGCAGTACATAAAATTAATCAGTGTTCCAAACTCTTGCAGAAGTATTTCTGGAATTTTCATCTTTGTGGCATGTGGCAAGCAAATCAGAATTGCAGTAAATTGTTTTTGTAGTAATACACTAAACATCAAAGTTGCCAAGTTTCAGTGATGTTAATCTGTTGACATTTTTGAATACAGATATGTAAAAATTGTTGTTCTTCTAAACAGATCCCCCTTTATTGGAAAGAACTCAGTGACAAATATTTGATAAATAAAATTTTAAAAATTAGATAAAATTTCAATATTAGTTTATCTTAATACAAAGTATATTTTAATTTAGTATCTACCAGGGAAGTATAAGGGTATAACTTACCTTTATTATAAATCTGTAGGCATAAAGATGTAGAGATGATGGTTTTAAAACTAATAACTTTGGAAGATGACACAGAATATACTTCTGTGGTCCAGATAAGAAATTCCAAAACCAAGAAATTACTGCTGAATTGTGAAAAGTTGTCAAACACTCCCACCAGAATCAATTTAATAATGACTACCATTACTGGGGACTATGCTAGATGCTTTCCATGCTTAATTTAACCCTAAAACCACCTGGGAAAAAAATATAATTTTTTGTTTTTATTTTTTATCCTCGTTTGATCATTGGAACTATTCTGCAGAAGTAGTTACTTCCCTCTCCCTTCCACTAAAGGAGAGGATATTTCCCTGCCCTCAACCAGGAGACCTACTTTGGCTGGTGGGATATTATAGACATATGCAGAGATTTCCAGTGGGCTGTTAATGATAAGACTTGCCCTTTGTGCTCCTCTGACCTGCTAGGAGGAAAGTATGCCCTGGGTAGGTGCTGCCCCTCCAGCCTGACTCCTAAATGAGGTATAGGGAGCAGATCAAAGCTAGCTGCCCAGCTGACTCACAGATCTGTGAAGGAGAAAATAAATGCTTATAAGTTTTTAAGATTGGGGTAGTTTTATTTGTGCAGCATTGTTACATGGAGTTGCCAGACCTCATTTTACAGACAAGTAAACCAAAGCTCTAAAAGAGATACTAGATAACTTACCTACCCAAATCACCCTATTTCTAACATGCAGGGCTGACAGTTGTGCCTAGCCCCATTCTTTCCAGGCTATATTATTTTAAAAATAATTGACAAGTGCTGAGGTTATTACCTATCCTTGGTGTTTATCCATTGAATGTCTTTTGTGTGACGTCTTAAACCCTTTCCTGATTATTTTCTTAGGATAAAGTCCTAGTGTGGAGTTTCTAGGTCTAATATGTACATTAACATTTTTTTTATATGTTGCAGTGTTAACTTTAGTAAGGATAAGTAGAGTGCCTGATTTCCTTTACCCTTTTCAAATATGAATAATAGCAATAGTAGCAATAGTAATGGCATCCATATCAGGGAGAGATTATTTTGGCTAATAGTAGCTTAAATAAATAGGGGGTTGTTTGTCTCTTATTCCTTTAAGCCCAGAGCTTCTAAAATTCTCTTAACATTGTCCTTGTGCTACAATCAAGATTGGAAGAAGAAATAGTGCATTCTAGCAGGCTTCTACTTTTGTGACATTAGCCAACAGACTCCCAGCCATAACAGAATCTGGGAAAGAAAGGTTTTTACGATTAGTGTTTTTCTTTAGCTTTTTTAGCCTCTATAATAGAGAACTGCAGAAGGGATTTGGGACTGGGTATTGGGTCAACTTACCCACTGTGTGTGTTATAGCAGTCAACCTTTTTTGGTGTGCTTATAGGCTTTGCATACTTTTAATACTTATAACAACAAATTTAATAGATCCTGCTGTTCCCTTTTCCCAAAGGAAAAACTGAGATTTGGAGAGATTTATTGACTTTCCAAGGTCACACAATTATTAAATGGGGGAGATAGAATTTAAACCTGGGGAGTCTACCCCAGAACTTTTGTTTTTTATATTTTTAGTGTTCTGATGTTCAAAAGCTGAAAGATTAAACTCCATTAGAGGTAATTTCTTTGATTATTAATGGGGTTAAATATGTTTCCATTTGTTCATTGGTTCTTTTTTATTTCTTTTTATTCATATTCACATATTTTCCTAGTGATGTCTTTTTCTGTAGCTGTATAGTTTTAAAGATATTAAATCTTTATCATCTGTATTTCAAATATTTCTTCCAGTTTATTAATTTGCTTTTTAACTTTATTTTCATGAAGTTCTCCCTTAATTCATTAGTATTTAATTTCTAGGTAAAAGATGTCAAAATCTTTTTTCCTTAGGGTATCTGTTTTTTATGTCATAAGTAGCTCAAGATTGTAGAAATATTCACCTATGTTTTCATCAAATATTACTTTATGTTTAAATTTTTTTGACTAAATAGAATTTATTTTAGTATTAGGTATGAGATTTTTCCCAAATGGTTGATCAGTTGTCCCATTTTCACTTACTGAATTCCCCCATTAATTAAAAAATCCCTTCTTAATTATATGTTAAATTCCTGTGAATACCTACTGTCTTGACCCTTTCACCTGGATGCAATGTAACTTAGTTAAGAGCACAAACTCCAGCCTAGGATTAAACTTCATCTGTCCTGTATATTAGCTGTGGGGTCTTGAGTAAATTACTTAACTTGTAAAGGCCTCTCTTTCCTCATCTACAAAATGGGAACAATGACAGTATCACCTAGTAGACTTGTGAAACTTAAATGAGGTAATACAGCTAAAGCATTTGGACAGTGCTTGTCATATAGAAAGAGATAAGTAAATATGAACTATTGTTATTGTCATCTTCAGTATCATAATTAAAAATAGTATCTACTTGATGAACAGTGACTGTAATGGGGGATATGGTGGGGACTTGATAGTGGGGGGAGACTAGTAACCATAACGTTGCTAATGTAATTGTAGATTAATGATACCAAAAAATAAATAAATAGTGTTTGCTTATTGAGTCCATGGCATGCAAACTGACTTAGTAATAAGTGCCTCATCATGAAACCAAATAGAATATTTTGAATAGAATAAAGCACAAAATTAAACTTAACCTTTTTATACTATTAAACTTGTAAAGTTTACATTATCTGTACTAGAGTTCTTGTTTTTTATGTTTAGTATTAATAATAGGTAGAAATTATAACATCTAAGTTCTGAAATACCAAAGGTTATTTTTATTTTATTGAAAAATATTGAAATTATATTAAACTATTCCTAGCCAAGTAATTAGGCATTTTATAAAATGGAATTTAAAAATATATTAATTCAAAAGCTTTTAATTAAAAGACACTATTTATCGGGCATTTTGGCAAGATGATAGAAACAATGAGAAATGATTTTTTTCCCTCCATATATTTATAATTTAGGGGACAGATGCTAATGGAACTATTGATACCTCTTTTATGTTGTTACTATAAAGACAAAATACTATCTGTAAGGAATACAAGTAGTTTCTCTGTGTCAACAGGGAAAAAAATCCTTTTTTAAAAATAGTAGGAGCAGTTAGACTAATAGTTGCTGAGCTACCAACTTGAAAATTTTTTTCAGTTTTGTTGAACAAAATGTTTAAACTTTTTGGCTTTTCATTAAATTTAAAGATCTCACTTATGTATAGTGTTTTTGAACTCAGACTTCAGGGAAATAGAGCTGCATCTTCAGTTTTCTAATATAATTCCCCCTGACAAAGAAAGAGAACCTAGAATTTTGTAAACTTTGTTACTGATTGCATAGGAATTGCATTCTCATTTGTTCAGTGAACAATTTTTGTGGGATATTCTTAGACAAATAAGAAAATTCACAAATAAAAGTGATTTATAGTATAATTAAATTTGATTTGTTAGCAGGATAGTACAAAATAATAGCCTTGATCAGTACTAAATTATAGATCAGCGTCATCAACATAAAAACCATGATTCTAGGTCATCCTTGAACTGCAAGGTGATTTAGAAAACTACAGGGTGATTGATATTATGTGCTAGAACTAGGGCAAAGATAAAAAAAATGGTATTATCTTTGATCTCAGCCCACATCTAGTAGCAGTAAATGCCTGCAGTAGTAAATATTCAGAAGGACTACAAAGCTTTTCAGGCTCTTCAGGAGAATAGCATTCCAATATCTATCACTGGTTATGGAAGAAGGGATATTTGCTATTGTGGAGTTATAGGGAAGACTGGGAGAAGCAAGTTTGAGGAATGGTGAAGATCAAGAGTTTTTTGGTACTTGTTGACTCTGAGATGTCTATTTGACATCCAAGTGAAGGAGATGAATAGGTAGTTGGATATATATGCCTGGATTTGAAAGGACTGGTGTGGTTGGGAATGTAAATTGGGACTTGCAAGCATATAGATTGTATTTAAAATCACAAGAGTAGATGAGTTAAATGATTTCACTCATTTGTGGAGTATAACAACAAAGCAAAACTGAAGGAACAAAATAGCAGCAGACTCACAGACTTCAAGAAGGGACTAGTGGTTACCAAAGGGGAGGGTGGGGAGGGAGGGAGAAGGCAATTAGGGTGTTATAATTAGCACACCCAATATAGGTAGGTCACGGGGAAGGCAGTATAGCATGGAGAGGACAAGTAGTGAATCTATAGCATCTAACTGCGCTGATGGACAGTGACTACAATGGGGTGTGTGCAGGGGGTACTGGATAATACGGGTGAATGTTGAAATCACAGTGTTGCTCATGTGAAATACATAAGATTGTATATCAATGATACAGACCAATATCCCTGATGAACAGAGATGCAAAAATACTCAACAAAATATTAGCAAACCAAATTAAAAAAATACATCAAGAGGATCATACACCATGACCAAGTGGGATTCATCTCAGGGATGCAAGGATGGTACAACATTCGAAAATTCATCAACATCATCTACCACATCAACAAAAAGAAGCACAAACACCACATGATCATCTCCATAGATGCGGAAAAGGATTCGACAAAATTGAACATCCATTCATGATAAAAACTCTCAACAAAATGGGTATAGAGGGCAATTACCTTAACATAATAATGGCTATATATGACAAACCCACAGCCAGCATCATCCTGAACAGCGAGAAGCTGAAAGCTTTTCCTCTAAGATCGGGAACAAGACAGGGATGCCCACTCTCCCCACTGTTATTCAACATAGTACTGGAGGTCCTAGCCATGGCAGTCAGACAAAACAAAGAAATACAAGGCATCCAGATTGATAAAGAAGTCAAACTGTCACTATTTGCAGATGACATGATATTGTACATAAAAAACCCTAAGGACTCAACTCCAAAACTACTACAACTAATATCTGAATTCAGGAAAATTGCAGGATACAAAATTAATACACAGAAATCTGTTGCTTTCCTATACACTAATGATGAACTAGCAGAGAGAGAAATCAGGAAAACAATTCCATTCATAATTGCCTCAAAAAGAATAAAATACCTAGGAATAAACCTAACCAAGGAAGTGAAAGACCTATACCCTGAAAACTACAAGACACTCTTAAGAGAAATTAAAGAGGACACTAACAAATGGAAACTCATCCCATGCTCTTGGCTAGGAAGAATTAATATTGCCAAAATGGCCATCCTGCCTAAAGCAATCTGCAGATTCAATGCAATCCCTATCAAAATACCAACAGCATTCTTCAACGAACTGAAACAAATAGTTTTAAAACTCATATGGAACCACAAAAGACCCCTAATAGCCAAAGCAATCCTGAGAAGGAAGAATAAAGCAGGGGGAAATCTCGCTTCCCAACTTCAAGCTCTACTACAAAGCCACAGTAATCAAAACAATTTGGTACTGGCACAAGAACAGACCCATAGACCAGTGAAACAGAATAGAGTTTCCAGATATTAACCCAAACATATATAGTCAATTAATATATGATAAAGGAGCCAAGAACATACAATGGGGATATGACAGCCTCTTTAACAGCTGGTGTTGGTAAAACTGGACAGCTACATATAAGAGAATGAAACTGGACCATTGTCTAACCCCATACACAAAAGTAAATTTGAAATGGATCAAAGACCTGAATGTAAGTCATGAAACCGTAAAACTCTTAGAAAAAACATAGGCAAAACTCTCTTGGACATAAACATGAGCAACTTCATGAACATATCTTCCCAGGCAAGGGAAACAAAAGCAAAAATGAACAAGTGGGACTATATCAAGCTGAAAAGCTTCTGTACAGCAAAGGACACCACCAATAGAACAAAACGGCATCCTGCCATATGGGAGAATATATTCATAAATGACAGATCCAATAAAGGGTTGACATCCAAAATATATAAAGAGCTCACGCACCTCAACAAACAAAATGCAAATAATCAAATTAAAAAATGGACACAGGAGCTGAATAGACGATTCTCCAAAGAAGAAATTCAGATGGCTAACAGACACATGAAAAGATGCTCCACATCACTAGTCATCAGAGAAATGCAAATTAAAACCACAATGAGATATCACCTCATACCTGTAAGGATCACCACCATCCAAAAGATAAACAACAGCAAATGTTGGTGAGGTTGTGGAGAAAGGGGAACCCTCCTACACTGCTGGTGAAAATGTAGATTAGTTCAATCATTGTGGAAAGCAGTATGGAGGTTCCTCAAAAAACTAAAAATAGAAATACCATTTGACTCAGAAATTCCACTCCTAGGAATTTACCCTAAGAATGCTGGAGCCCAGTATGAAAAAGACACATGCACCCCTATGTTTATTGCAGCACTATTTACAATAGCCAAGAAATGGAAGCAACCTGAGTGTCCATCAGTAGATGAATGGATAAGAAGAAGTGGTACATATACACAATGGAATATTATTCAGCCATAAGAAGAAAAAAGCTTTTACCATTTGCAACAACATGGATGGAGCTAGAGGGTATTATGCTCAGTGAAATAAGCCAGGCGGAGAAAGACAAGTATGAAATTATTTCACTCACCTGTGGAGTATAAGAACAAAGCAAAAACTGAAGGAACAAAACAGCAGCAGACTCACAGAACCCAAGAATGGACTAACAGATACCAAAAGTGGTGGTGGTGGAGGTGGGTGGGAAGGGAGGGATAAGGGGAAAAAAGGGGCATTATGATTAGCACACATAATGTAACAGGGGGTGGGGGGATGGGGAGGGCAGTATAACACAGAGAAGACAAGTACTAGCATCTTACTACGCTGATGGACAGTGACTGTAATGGGGTATGTGGGGGGACTTGGTGATGGGGGGAGTCTAGTAAAAATTGTAGATTAATGATATCACAAAAAAAGGATTGTATATCAATGATACCTTAATTTTGAAAAAAGTATGTGGGGGGTGAGAACACCCAACCAAAAAAAAAAGTAGGTGAGTTACCAAGGAAATGAACATAGAGTACAAAGAGAGGGAGAAAAATCTCATGGTCTGAGAGTTTGGGACCCTCCCACGTGTCAGGGAAGTGGGAAGATCTAGTAAATGAGACTAAGAAGGAGTGGCCAGAGAGAAATAACAGGAAAACCTGAAGTGTGGGGATCCTGATAGCCAAGTGAGTGAAGTGTCCAGTGAAACTGGAGGGATCCAGAATTCTTGAAAGGTTAACTAAGACAAGGATTAATAGTTGACCATTGGATTTAGCAACGTGGAGGTCATTGGTTATCTTGACGAATACTTGACAAAGTGAATTTTGTCAAGCTCAAGTAAGTTGAGGAGAGGAGAGGAACTGAAGGCAATGAAGACAGACAATCCATTAGGAGTTTTGCTTTAAAGTGGAACAGAAAATTGATAGTTGGGAAAAGAGGAATCAAGAACATTTTTTTGTCTTGTTTTATTTATTTGTTTTAAGATAGAAGAAATAATATCATGTTTTTATATGCAGATGGGAATGATTTGGCAGAGGAGACAAACAGCTCAGAAATTCAGTCTTATTTATTAATGTAGGGCTAGAGTGAGCAACAAGTGCAAACAAGAGCAAACTTCCCGTCTCTTTTCGCAGATAAAGATTACAAAGCTACATCTTTGTTGTGTTTTTCAAATATCCCTTGGTATTAAAATGTTATTGTCTAAGTTACACAGTTTGTGAGGAGAGACCAATGCTGGCTCTATTTTAATTAATTACACAATTTATCTCTCCTGCTTATTTTCCCTCCTTCCCTCCAATTAACAAACCATTATTAAGTATTTATTAATTACAAAGCACTAGACTAGACCCTGCTGATACAGAGTGGACTTGGTCTGCAGTGATACAGTGGACTTGGTCCCTGCCCTTGAGTTTGCAATTTAGTGGGGAGATGACTTTCCTAATTTAGGAACTTGGAACGTTTCATTTTTAGGGTGAAGCTGTTCTTCAGCATCCTCCCATCTGTATCTTTTAGGTGAAGAACACATTCAAGACATAAACTTCTTTGGTTCTCCTTGTTTCTAGACCATCAGATATTCCTTCTCCTGTTTTTCCCAAAGTAGTTTGGGGCTTATCAGATGAAAACTGATCATGCTTCCTTCTGATTCTCTAGACCTGAATATTTTAAAAAATAGTATTTAAAAACTAACTCAGCATTTGAAGTTATAATGTTTATTAGGACAAGTGTGGGCACTGGAGCTCTCTGTAAATCAGAGGTAATGTCTACTTTGCAGGATTGTTATGGGAAATAGATGAGAAATAATTCACGTATCAGTGTGTCAAACACAGTACACTTAGGAGCTGCTCAATAAATATACCTTATCACTTTATCATGGTCTACAAACACCCAGTATGTGGAGAGAAATTGAAGTTAAGGATATGGAGCTAAATGGATAAACTCTAATTCCAAAGAGGTAACAGAGTTTACTATTCATTGATAGAAATCAATTAGTTCAGAGATGTTAGTCACACATACCTTTTAATAAGTTAATTAACTTACAGCAGTCTCTGTTTTCCCTCTTGGGTAGTTGTATTGTGTAATTGTAGAATTCTTAGCTCATAACTGTATGAAAATAGGTATTTGGATAATACTTTCTAATGATTATGAGCCAATTATATAGTTTAAATCTGATACCTATTCAAAATATATTCTTGCAAGTTGGACTTTGAATTTACTAAAATGTTGTTTTGTTATCTTCCTAGAATGGAGCTAGTTTATCAAAAGCCAAAGGAAGCCGAATTGGATTTGATAGCACACAGTGGGTATGTACCATAAGAAATTCTTCATTTACAATGTTCATTTGGTTTGTTCATTTATATACTCATGTATACTTAACATAAATATTTGTTGAATGATGACAATAACAATAGCTACCTTGGTGGGGAGTGGGAGTAGGTGGTGGAGGGAAAGGGGCAGGTCCTTATGCTAAGTGCTTTATATCAGTATCTCATTTAGTTCTTATAGCAACTTAAAGAATTCAATACATATTGTTATCCTCAATTCACTTAGACAGATTAAGGCTAGTTGACTAATAAGTGTCTGAGTTCAGATTCTGTTTGCCTCCACAATCCTTATTCACTGAGGTATGGTACTTTGCCAAATGAATAAATAGGTGAATCAGGAGAAAACAATGATGAGGGATAAAAGTCTATTCAACATGTTTCCTTTTCAAGATAAGGAAAACTGCAATATATACAATATATCCCTGTTTTGGTTTACAAACTGTAGAGCCTGTACATTTATGAAATATATTTTCTTAACTTTTGTCTAACCGGATTTAGAATGAAATACAATGCTAGGTTACTAATAAAAAAATTACATTTAACCTGTTAGTATACATTTTGGATATGACCAGATATTTCTTGTGTATATATTTCAATCTTTGGCAAAGACACAAAAGGCTTTAGATTAGAAGTAGGTTTTCAAATCACCAAGCAGCAATAAAGTAGTGATAATTTTAGGTCATTGCTGATACCACTTGGATTTGAATGACTATTTAAAAGGTAAAGTCTGGTATTTCCGGCATCAGACTCCTCAACTATCAAGTCTGGAAGTTTCCATGTGAACTTTTAATTCATTAAAAATACCAGATATTTTGCTCTGTGAATTTAGATAGTCTGAGGGGGAAGGGAAGCCCTGTCTTTTTCACTCAGAGAATGACCACTGTGGTGGGAGAAAATAACTAATTTTTTTAAAAGGGGTTTACTTCTAAGATAAATGAGCAAAAAATTATAGAGTTGCTTACTACATTCAGTGATCTGTTTTTTTGTGATGGTATTAAAAATCATTCTTTATAATAGTTACAGAATCAAGGGGGAAGGAAAAATACTTAAAATACTTCTGTTCTAATATTTGAGAAGGCATGAAAGGTGAAATCTGAACAATAAGTGTGATACTGAGCCCTGAAAAAAATTCTAGAATGAGTTACTAAACAGATGACTTGACAGCACTTAGAAAAGAAAATGATGATTGCCAGGAACTAGCCTTTAACTAAGAACAAGTCCTACCAAGCCCTTTTAAGTGAAGAGGCTATTATAGTCTTAGCATATCCTGTTTTCAACAAGACATTTTCTTTCTTATAAACAAAATGAATTACTGGAAGCCAGATGGTAATAGTCATGTTGACTTAGAATTAATTTGATTTAGAGTCAATTGGACATCTGTTTCCAAGGAGCATTGATGATTACATTGGTACCAACCTGGAAGGCATATTTAGAAGGTGAGTTATAGAATCTCTCTTTGATCCTGCCCTAATTTGTATTTATATTAATAATCATAGTGAAGCCATAAATGCGTTCATCCTGTTTGTATTTAACACCAATCTGAAAGAGATTCATTCAGCAAACATTTATTAAGCGCCTTATATGTACTAGTTGTCTGTCAGCTCATCTTCCAAAATCATCTTTCTCTTTTATTCTCCTGGTGTAAAAGCCTAAAAAGCAATGACCATAAAATAAAAAAATTTGATAAATTAGGCTATCAAAATTTTAAATGTCTACTCATCAAAAGACAGTATTTAAAGAATAAATAGATTTGCCACAGACTAGAAAATATTAACAAACATGTATCTGACCAAAGACTGGTATCAAGGATAAATTAAGAACTCTTACCACTCAGTAGTAGATGTTTTTCATACTCTATAAAATTGAGAAGGGGCTATTCCTGGTTTGCTGAGAGGTTTTAATCATGAATAGGTATTGCATTTTATCAAATACTTTTTCTGACTTGAAGCTATCAGAGTTTTTTCTATTTATTCTGTTGCTATGGTGAATTTTGTTGATTAATTTTCAAATGCTAAACTAACCTTTCATTCCTGAGATAAAGCATACTTGGTGATGATATTTACTTTTATTTTTAATCTTTTTCTTTTAACTATTGGAATTGGTTTTCTAGTGTATTGCTAAGTGTTGTTGCATCTGTGTTCGTGAAGGATGGTGGTCTGTAATCTTTTATAATGTCTTTGTCAGGTTTAACTATTAGTATTACACTGGTCTGTTAAAATGAGTTAGGAAGGATTCCCTCCTGCTCAGTTTCCTGAAAGAGTTTTTGTAAAATTGGTATTATTTCTTCCTTAAATCTTTGCTAGATTGACCAGTGAACCAAGAAAAAACTGGGTCTGGAGTTTTTTCTTGTTTGATGGCAGGTTTTTTATGTATATATAAAATTCCATTTTGTTATTAGGTATAGGGCCATTCAGATTTCCTGTTTCATCTTGTAGTAGTTTTGTTAATTGCATTTTTAAAGAAATTTATTTGTTTCACCTAAGTTATTGAATTTTTTTGGCATAAAATTGTTTATTCTACCTTTTTATTTAGCTGTCTCTCCCACTAAAAAGTAATAAACTCCTAGAGTAGAGATTATTGTATTCAGAAATTATTGCATAATACTTTATACTAAAAGCAAAGGATAAGAGATTGATTCCTAGCTTTATGTCATTTTTTGCTATCTTTATAATTCTTGATACCCTCATCTATTTATTCTCTTGTACATGTTTTTGTAAGATCCTTCAGATTTTGTGAATTAGGATTTATCCTTACTTCCATGAACATACATCACTTTGCAATCGTTACAGTTTTCATTAAAGTAGACTTTTAAGCAATAATGTATACCAGTTATTTTATTTATTTTAGCTGTGCTTAGGTATTATTAAATTTTGCCTAGTAAAATTATATTTTAAAATATTATAACTTTATTTAGAATATCAAATAATATATGGGGATGGTCAAGCAGCTGATACACTTAGTGTGAGTCTTTGCTTAGAGAGATTATTAAGCAGTATTATGGATATGAAGAAAAATGACACACACAACTGAATTTTGGTTTTGAAAAGGTTGTCATGACTGGTTTTTAAAAACTAACAGATCTGGTAATTCCTCTCCCATGTTTGCTTGAAAAGATTAAGCTTATACCAAGGGAGTAATTTGAAATTCAAGTTTTCATCTCAAAGGTCACTTCCTCTATGAAGACTTTGTTGACCTTTTGATATACAGTTAATTAGTAGCTTACTGTTCTCTACTTTATAATATGTTGCATATATTTTTACTATAGCATATTTTATATTCTATGGTAAATATTTGTTCATCTGCCTCAGCAGATTGTACTTCTTGAGAGTAGAGAACCATTTTTTATTTATTTGTTTCTTGTCTATTTTTTTAGCACAGTAACAAGCATGGTATCTGTTGAGCAAACAATCTATTCTTATAAAATTAATGAATAAAAACATAACAAGATAGATTGTTCAATTTGTTTGGAAGAATTAAGGAGATTCTTTTCCTTTCAAACAGCATGCAGTTAAAAAGTTTATTATGCTGACATCCAGCCAAAATGTACCAGTGTTCCTTATTGATCCTTTGATTCTGGAATTGATTAATAAAGACTTTGAACAAATCAAAAATACTTCTCATGGCTCCACTGCAGAATGCAAGTTTCTCTGTGTTCCCAGAGACTTTACTGTATTTGCATTACAGTATCACCTGTGGAAGAATGAGGTAAGATGGTTTGCTTTCAGGTAATGGAATGTGTGTTTTGCAAAAAAAAAGTATGGGTAAACCACCTTAAAATGTAGAACATTTTAAAAAATTCTTAAAGCTTTTTATAAATTGCATCAGGAGTATTTTCAGCCATCAGTAATGACACAGTTAATAATGGCTTAAGCAAATAGGGGATTTATTTTTCTTATATAACAAGAGGTTAAAAGATTGGTGGCTGTTGATACTAGTTCAGCTGCCCATTAAATGTCGGGACTTGCATCACCTAAGTTCATGTCTCCCATCATCACAAGATAGCTGTCACAGTTCCAAGGTATCACATCCAGATTCAAGGCAAGAAGAAAAAGGATGGTGACACTGTCTATCCATGAAGGAAAATTTTACTCAGAAGCTTCTGGTAAATTTCTTACAGCTCAATGTCTAGAACCATATTCATATGTCTCCTTATTGTGAAGGAGGCTAAAAAGAAAGGTATTTAGCATTTCCATCAGTGTAGGCAGGCAAGTAGGAAAGGATTTGGTGATGAATTTTCAGTATGTGCTATGTAAGGTATACATAAAGGTGGTATCCCTAATCTATAGTGTTACTCTTTCCACTTTGTAAATGCACAGTAATTGTTTGATACGTAAGTATAGTGCTTCTTAGGTGTATCCAAAAATTCAAACTTGTATTTCCATCCTGCTTAATGGTTACAAAAGGTCACACAGTAGTTAAAAAAAAGGTCTCAATGAAACATGCCAAAAATTTGCTTACTTTGCTTGGAATACCTCCAACTTCCCAATTTCACTGTTTTTCATTCTGAGGAGTTAAGTAAGAATAAGAAAATTAGAGTCAGATTAAATGAACCCTACTAGTTAGTTAGTCAGACACCCATGATAGATGTGCACTAGCTTGGCCGTGGGATCGGTTTGTGTTGTGTTACTCCTGGTAGGTGGGGCTCACGCTCTGGGTGATGATGTGCTCTGGGAAATCAATGTGAGTTTTTGCTCCCTGCTGCATTTTGTTTTTCTGAGTCCCTTCTTTGTGGGTGTTTATTTTTTGGTATGGTTATTTGCAATACAAGTTTTTTTTACAGTGTTTGTTGATCTTTCTCTGCTCATATTTAAGAATGAGACACTGAAAACCAATCGGAATCTTTTTGTTATGGTCAGGCCTCTGTAACTGATAGGCTCCACTATAGGCTTAAATTTGAAATTATGCAGAACACAGGATAGATTTTCATATATTGGACTGTAAGATGTCTAGTGTTCTTGGCCTGGACTTCTAAATGCCAGTTGTGTCTTTCTCAATCATTATGATAACCAAAAATATCCTCACAAATTTCTAAAATGTCTCAGATACAATACCACTTGCCTTGAGAACCAATATTCAGAAGGAAGAAAATATGCCACAATTGTTGAAACAGATAGACCTGAGTCAGTGGAAGAAGCACAAGGTCAGCAATACCCAGAATAAGCAGCACACAGGTTCACATTTACTCTAGTGTACATATGACATCATACAGAGCCCTTGGACGGTCCTCCCTAAACCATCACCCATGGCCACTGGGGGTAGATCTGTGCAGTACAGCTTTGACCTAGGCCTTTGCTCTGTTTATGACTTCTCTCTCTCTCATGATTACAAGAAGGCAAGCTGTGTCCTAGTTCCCCTGTTTTGTGTCCGTTTTGTGTCTCAGTCTTTCTCTCCTCCCACAACCCAAGGTCTGGTTCCTCTTCAAGGTCCGTCTTTCATCCTCTGTGGGAGGCTCTCCTCTGAATTGGCCACTCTCACCCTCGATCAATACTTTGAACTTTTTAGGTATGTCTTTTAACTCTTAAGAAAGAAAAAGAAAAAGAGGAATCCTACAGTCGGTAATTCTAATAGAAGGAGAATCACGGTGAAATTGTATTAGCAAGGGTAAGTTACATGAATTGCTGTGTAAAAAACATCCTGAAATCACAGTAATTCAGCATAAGAAAGGAGTAATTGTCATTACACAAAATCCAGTGTGGATATTCCTGGATGATTTTCCTCTGAGCAGTGACTGAGGGATACAGGCTGTTTCATTTGTGTAACTTTTACATCTTGGAGCTCTTTGCTTCCCTACACACAGATAAGAGGGAAAGCATGGAAGATCTTAAGGGTTGTGGAAGGCCAGGCCTGGAAGTGGTATACAGTACTTACATCCACATTCCTTAATCAAAATACAGTTAAGCTCTATATGCAGAAAAGAGAAGACAGTTGTTATTGATACTAGGTAAGCATTCTGTGCCAGAATTATCACTTTCTCTTGTTTAACAATATAAACACCACCAAATGTCTGTTGAGCACCTTCTGGGTACTAGTCACTGTTGATTCCTGTGGTGAGGAATTTGCAGTCAGTCTATTAACGGAGTTTAGCAAACAAACAAAAATCAGTACAGTCAATACTATAATAGAGGTCTGTGTGTGTTAGGAGAGCATAGACAAGGATACAGCCAATCCACACGACAACATTCATAGGCAGTAAGTTATGTGAATAAAGTGTTCTTGCTTTTTGATGTGATTAAAAATGATGTGAGTTAAGTGTGAGTCCTGCTTTTAAGAGAAACTTATAGACACAACTCTATCATTTAATAATTTTGATATCTGATATGACCACCTTGTTTTCCTTACATGTAGACTAGGTGTAATAATATCTTCCTTGCTGTCCTCATAGTTTCTGTGGACATCAGAGAAGATAATGAATGTAAATGAGCTTTGTACACATTATACCAGAGAGGTAGTGTTACAGAGTGGGAAGAACCTTTGGTTTGGTTAAGTAAGACCTAAATGCTGGCAGTGACTTTGCCTCTTGTTAATATTGTTCCTTAGACTTCTGTCAGACTGTTTCTTTATCTATAATATGTGTGCTATTTATTTTGTAAGGTAGATGTCATTTGTAAATGCAGTAATGTTTATGAAAGTTCCTTGGAAATTGTAAATTCCTATTCAAATGTAAGGAATACTGTTTAATCATCTATAGCATTAGTTGTTGAGATTAGGACTAAACATCTATCATGTAGATTAATCTTGTTATATGAGATTTATACTATAATGATATTGGAAAATGCATTTGTTTTGTAGTGTATCTCAGTCTGTTTTCTACTGATTTGCATTATGGTGCCTTCTGTTTTAGAAATAGTTTAAGGTGTTGGAATATAAACTGAGATGAAAGCCCTACTCTTTTGAAGCACTTTCGAAGATAAATGCTTTTAGAGTTAAATTGAAAATTATAAGTTTAAGTGCTGTCCTTATATTCACATATACTTTACAGATACTAACCAGAGAACACTAAGATGAGCATTGTCGTTCCAAGGAAGACATTTGTATTACCTTCCATAAAGAGAGTCTTGAACATCTTCCAAGCTACACAGTGTCTCTTTTTGGTACTTTCCTTTATGTTTCCATCACTACCTTGCCCTCATTTAAAAATTTTCAGGCAGAGAACAGATTAGCACAAAAAAGAAATATGGCTTAATTCAGTTTAAAAATCACTTCAAGTGATTCCTACTGGTACTGGGTTTTAACATTTAAGATCAATGTTTCTTTCATTTTAGGAAGGCTGGCTTCGGGTAGCTGAAAACATGGGATTTCAGTGCCTGAAGATCGAGAGCAAAGATCCCCGGCTAGATGGGATAGACTCACTTTCTGGAACTGAAATCCCCCTGCACTATATCTGCAGATTGGCTAGTCATGCCATCCATGTGGTGGTCTTTCATGAGAGGAGTGGCAACTACCTCTGGCATGGTCACCTACGACTCAAAGGGCACATGGACAGGAAGTTCGTTCCTTTTCGAAAGCTACAGTTTGGTCATTATCCTGGAGCCTTTGACAGGTAAATTTAGGGTCTAGAGGGGAAATATGAAACCTGTATTGTCCAGTCATGAATGCTTACTCTTTTTTTCTCCATTTACCAATTAATATATAATTCACCATAAATCATATTTGATGTAAATCTTCAACAGGAAGAAACTCATGCACATGTGTACCAGAAAGATGTGCTTAATGTCTCAAAACAAAATGTTATCAGTTCATACAATGAAGCATTGCAGAGCAAGGAACTAGTGTTCTGTGCAACAACATAGATGAATCCTGCAGTTGAGTGACAGAAACAAGGCAGAAAACAATACAAATCTTATGATTATACTTATAAAAAGTTATGTTCATGGATGAAAACTTACATAATAAAAGTGGGCAAAATGTACAAACTTCTAGTTCTAAGACAACTAAGTCCTGGGTATGTAAGTTACACCTGGTGACTACAGTTAGCACTGCTGTGGCATATTTGAAAGTTGCTAGGAGATTAGATCTTAAAAAATGATATCAGAGACATGAAGAAAATATGCTTGATCTTGTATATTTTGAAGAGGGTGCCAGTGTCCTGGGTTAAATCCTTATAATAAATCTTAACTTTTGTTTTCAGGCCAGAGTTACAACAAATTACTGTTGATGGACTAGAAGTTCTCATTCCAAAAGATACGATGCACTTTCTAGAAGAAATACCACACTCTAGGTTTATTGAGTGTAGGTATAAAGAAGCTCGAGCATTCTTTCAGGTTAGAGATAACCAAATACTGTGCTTTTTAAATGAAGGAAGTGTATGTATTTTTAATATTCCTAGGGGGTAAGTAAAAAAGAGACTTAGGAAAACATCTTTTCAATTCATCTGTTTTCTTCTAGATTATTTTGTTTTAGTTTTGTAAAAAATAGATTAGATGTTAGTCTTAAGAAACTATGTCTTCCCTAGTTGAATGGCTTGATGTTTATGGAGACCTTGTTTTATTTGGACAGACTTTAATAGGTATAGTGGTGGCCTCTGCTTTCAGTTAGGATAGCCCATAAACTTTGTGAAAAATGGTGTGTTCTGTCCTTGAAGCAATCCAACTAAGATGAAGCCACTGTAGAAGATAAAGATAGACCATGTGGATTTAGAAAAGATTTCATGGAAAATACAGGTTTTCTCAGAGGGTTGGCACTGAATATGAATTTATTGTGTTTGTGAAGGTTTTTGAAGGTAAATGCTACACAAAGACCAAGCGCTTTTTGAACTTTATTCTGCTGTTCTTGTTTTCAATTCAGTAAATATTTATTGAAAGCCTGTTTCCCAGGAACTCTGCTGACCCTGTGGATATAAAGGTGATTTTGAAAGGCATGAAAGTTCAGCTGTAAGAGATTACATGAAACAGATACAGTAAAAGCAGATTTACAGTGGGGTTTTGGTACCCTTATCCTTCTACTTGCCCTTTATTTTCTGGGATTCCCTTCCAAGAAAGCTGTAGACCCAGGGACAAGAGCTGAGTGGAAATAATGAAGTACCAGCTGTATCATCACTGGCTAAGTGCCAAACACCCACAGATGCAAGGGTTTTCTGGAATGCTGTGCTGGTACCCAGGACCTATGCCTGACATCCCAAGTGGACCTTCCTAGCCTTATTTCCTGAAGTCTATCATGTGGAGCTATAAGACATACCCAGTCGGCCTCATGGATGAGAAGCTGGAAAACCGGGTGTGGATGAGCCTTCTGTAGTAGGCAGGAGCCGCCCGTCACATTCCCACCACATGGTAACACGAAGCAGGAGAGATGCAGTATGGAGTTTGAACACGCCCACTCACTCCTCTTGCCTTCAGGGAATTTGTTCCTGTCTCCCCCGCCTCCCCACCCCTTCACAGTAGTTGTCACAGTGAATTGTGAGTATCTCTCTTGTCCCCCTACTAGATTATGTGAACTTACTGATGGCAAGCATCTCTTTTTATTCACCTCTGTGACCCTGGCATCTAGCACAGCACTTGACACAAATAAAACATCTTAATATTGTGGAAAAATGCTTGGAAAAGGTGCATCCAAATCAAATGATTTTTTCAGGACACTTGCTAGGACAATCCCATTACCTAGCAAGCATTTGCCCAGAGTCCCTTTGTTGATCTTTGTGAGAAGGCACTTTAAAATGTAAAAGTCTAAAAATATTAAGAAATCATGAGGATAGTGTCAGACTTTTTAATTCCATATTTTCATTCTTGCTTTGAAATTTTAAGGGCAAGCTCTCAATCAGCATTTGAGTAAAGAATGTAAATGAGAGATGCTCAGAGGGCTTATCAACTTATCATAGTCTCATAGTTTTGGTGTATATAAAGTATCGTCACATAGCAAAACTTTAATCTTGACTGAAAGTTGTTATTCGTAACAGGATCAGGTAGAACTTTGTGTTCATTCTTCATCATGTTATGTGTGTCTTTCTCTTGCAGCAAGATACACTTAAGATTCCTATTTTTTCTCTTCTGGTGGTGCATTGGTATTACTAATATAGAGTGCCTAGTGGGATTGATGATCATTTTTATCTTTATTCTCTTAAATGTTTCATTTTTAATCACTTCTTACATTAGAATCATTAAAAATACCAAGAGGGTCAGTTTTCAAATTAAAGTGAACTTACATAACTTTGAACACTTGATGGCGCCAAATAGCCTTAAATGCAGTGCTGAGCGTGAGGCAATGAAGTAAGCTTAGAGATCTCATAAAAGTAGCCTTCTTTTTTTTTTAATAATAATTTTTGAAACATTTTCATACTTTCAGAAAAGTTACAGGTACAATACAAATAAATTTTTTCCTGAACCATATGGAAATAAGTTGATGACCGAATACCCGTTAACCTTAACTAAGTATTTTCTAAAAACAAGAACATTGTCCTATATGTCTTAATACACAAATCAGAAAGTTAACACATAGACTATTACCGTTTAATCCCCATTCAGTTTTTGCTAATTGCCCCAATAATGGTCTTTGTAATATAAGGATTTAATTTAGAATCACATGTTGTATTTAATTTTCCTGTTTGTGTAGTCTCCTTCAGTCTAGAACAGTTTCAGTCTTCTTAAAAACTTTTATTACTTTGACAGTTTTGAATAGTACAGGCCAGATATTTTTTAAATTGTCTCTTATTTGGGGTTTGTCTGGTTTTTCTTCATGTTAGATTCAGGTTATATACCTTTAGTAGGAATAACACAGAAGAGATGCTGTGTGTGCTTCTCATTGTCTCCTAACAGGTATTGCATGATTTTGATTTGTCCCATTGTTGGTGTTCACATTGATCACTTGATTAAAGTGCTACTTGCTAACTTTATCCCTGTGAAGTTTCTCTTTTTCCCTTTGTAATTAATAGAAATTTGGCATGAAGGTACTTTAAAACTATGTAAATATAATCAATATCCTCATCAAACTTTCAATTTATTTATGAACTCATGGTTTGCTATTTTATTCAATGGGGTATAGTCTATTTTTTTTTTGATTATTTATTTCGATCCACAGATTCTTATTTGGCCAGTGGGAACCCCTTCATGATGGCTTCTGTGTGTTTTTGACATGTCTCCCATCATTTTTTGAGCACTTTCTTGCTCTTTGGCAAAAAATGTTCTGGGTTCATCCTGTAATTTCCCTGCCACAACCCTAGAATCAGCCATTTCTCTGAGTCTTGCTTCCTTTTAGAAGCCAAGATCTGGATGCCAAGTGTGCTCCTTGCTTTTGGGGTTTTGTGGCAGACAGGCCCTCTCACAGTGTGTGTGTGTGCATTTCTTTCTTTTTAATTGCTTACTGTTTATTCTTTTTTAAATTGAAGTCTAGTTGATATGCAATCTTATATTGGTTTCAAGTATACAACCACTGTGGTTCAGCAGTTACCCATATTATTAAATCCTCACCCCCTCTAGTGTAGTTCTTACCTGTCAACATAGAAAGATGTGACAGAATCAGTGGCTGTATTCTCCATGCTGTACTGCCATCCCCATCACCAACTTCTTTTATGACTGAGAATTTTTGTGCCCCCTTTCCCCCTTTCCACTCCCCCACCTACCTACTCCAACCTCTCTCCCATGATAACCACCAGTCACTTCTTAGTGTCTGTGAGTCTACTGCTATTTTGTTCATTTTGTTCTGTTTCTGTTTTTAGATTTCATCTATAAGTGAATTCATATGGTATTTGTTTTTCTCCCAGCTGGCTTATTTCACTGAGCATAGTACCCTCTAGGTCCATCCGTGTTATCACAAATGGCACAATTTCTTCCTTTTTTATGGCTGGATAATATTCTGTTGTGTATATGTGCCACATCTTTTTCATTCATCTGTTGATGGACACTTAGATTGCTTCCATATTGTGGCTATTGTAAATAGTGCTGTGGTAAACATATGAATGCATATGTCTTTTTGAATCTGGAATCTTGTTTTTTTCCCAGTAAATTCCTAGAAGTGGAATTACTGGGTTTTTCTATTTTTAGTTTTTTTAGGAACCTCCATACTGCTTTTCACAGTGGCTGCACCAATTTACCTTCCTATCAATAGTGTAAGAGAGTTCCTGCATTTATTTCTGTATCCATCTAGCTATCAAGATCTATGAATTCACATTGATATCTCTAGTCCAATTAAGTTGTAAGTTTCATTTAAACAGAGTAGGGTTCATTTTCATATCTGTGACTCCCTAAACAATGAGAAACCTGACTCCCATTATCCTTAATATACCTACTTATTTGTTCAGTGTCCTGTCATTGAAGCTGCCCCCTCTTCCACGTGGATGCCTCCCTTACTCTCTGCTTGGGTGTTGCTGTCCCCCAGTGGGCTGCCCCCATATGTACACGTACTTCTTACCCTGCTTGGGCTCCAACCCCACACTGGACACACTCTCATGTGGATGCCTTCATTACCTGCTCAGGCTGACACCCATACCAGGCCACCCATGTGCCTTGTCCTGTTCTGCTTTGTCTAATGGTTCTAGCATTGAATGGCTCATGAAGGGGAGGGGAGGAGAAGGGGAATGCTCTTCTCCCTCACTTTATTGCCTTTTTTTTTTTTTCAGAAATTTTCAGATTAACTGTTAAAAGGTCTGTAGCTCTGGGAGTAAGGGTGTTCCCTGCCTGGGTCAAGTTCCATGTGAATCCAATGAAACTGAAGGAAGGCAAGGGAAAGGGCAGGTTCGGAGAAAGGGGTTTATTGCTCACAGCTCACTTGGGTTTGCTAGCCAGCCTTTGCTCCATCCATCTCCTACAGCCATGGTGTGTGCACTCTTTCTCTCTGGTCCCTGCTAGCAAAACCAGCTCTGTCTCTTGCAGTCAGAAATCCACAGGCGGGTCCCTTGGGACTGATGGGCATGAGACCAATTAGGTACCAGGAACAGAGGAGAGGAGAGAATGGCTGTTTTCTTTCCACCCTTAGACCTGTATCTACTGGTCACTCTGTTGTGGTAAACATCCATTGGTGTGTGAAAGGACTAAGGTGAGGTGAGAAATTCTGGAAATTGTGGGTGAAAACTTCCATTTACCCAACAAGGTCACATTCCTGAGATAGGTTGAAATTGTAATTAAGTTTAGTGTTGTGGGGGACAAATGACTCCAGTTTGGGCTTGTTGTTCCTTTTTTGAACAGTATAAGAACTCAAGTCCAAGTGTGTATGTTTAAGTCCTACTCAACTACCCCCTCCTCAAGGAGGTCTACCCTGATAAGCCTGGGTGAAGCAGCTCTTCCCATCTACAACCCATATTCTTGCTTCTCTTCATTGCACTTTTTTTTGTTTTGTTTTTTATTTTCGTTTCATTAATCTACAATTACATGAGGAACATTATGTTTACTAGACTCCCCCCATCACCAAGTTCTCCCCACATACCCCATTGCAGTCACTATCTATCAGTGTAGTAAAATGCTGTAGAATCACTACTTGTCTTCTCTGTGTTATACAGCCCTCCCCGTGTGCCCCCCACATTATACTTGCTAATCATAATGCCCCCTTTCTACCCCCGCCTTATTCCTTCCTTCCTACCCATCCTCCCCAGTCCCTTTCCCTTTGGTAGCTGTTAGTCCATTCTTGGGTTCTGTGATTCTGCTGCTGTTTTGTTCCTTCAGTTTTTTCTTTGTTCTTATGCTCCACAGATGAGTGAAATCATTTGCTACTTGTCTTTCTCCACCTGGCTTATTTCACTGAGCATAATACTCTCTAGCTCCATCCATGTTGTTGCAAATGATAGGATTTGTTTTCTTTTTATGGCTGAATAGTACTCCATTGTGTTTATCTACCACATCTTCTTTATCCATTCATCTACTGATGGACACTTAGGTTGCTTCCATTTCTTGGCTGTTGTAAACAGTGCTGCAATAAACATAGGGTTGCATATGTCTTTTTCAATCTGGGCTCCTGCATTCTTAGGGTAAATTCCTAGGAGTGGGATTCCTGAGTCAAATGGTATTTCTATTTTTAGTTTTTTTGAGGAACCTCCATACTGCTTTCCACAATGGTTGAACTAATTTACATTCCTATCAGTAGTGTAGGAGGGTTCCCCTTTCTCCACAACCTCACCAACATTTGTTGTTGTTTATCTTTTGGATGGTGGCGATCCTTACTGGTGTGAGGTGATATCTCATTGTGGTTTTAATTTGCATTTCTCTGATACCTAGCAATGTGGAGCATCTTTTCATGTGTCTGCTGGCCATCTGAATTTCTTCTTTGGAGAATCGTCTGTTCAGCTCCTGTGTCCATATTTTAATTTGATTATTTGCATTTTGTTTGTTGAGGTGCGTGAGCTCTTTATATATTTTGGATGTCAACCCTTTATTGGATCTGTCATTTATGAATATATTCTCCCATACTGTAGGATACCTTTTTGTACTGTTGATGGTGTCCTTTGCTGTACAGAAGCTTTTCAGCTTGATATAGTCCCACTTGTTCATTTTTGCTTTTGTTTCCCTTGCCCTGAGAGATATGTTCATGAAGAAGTTACTCATGTTTATGTCCAGGAGAGTTTTGCCTATGTTTTTTTAATGAGTTTTATGGTTTCATGACTTACATTCAGGTCTTTGATCCATTTCAAATTTACTTTTGTGTATGGGGTTAGACAATGATCCAGTTTCATTCTCTTACATGTAGCTGTCCAGTTTTGGCAACACCAGCTGTTGAAGAGGCTATCATTTCCCCATTGTATATCCATGGCTCCTTTATCGTATATTAATTGGCCATATATTTTTTGGTTAATATCTGGAGTCTCTATTCTGTTCCACTCATCTATGGGTCTGTTCTTGTGCCAATACCAAATTGTCTTAATTACTGTGGCTTTGTGGTAGAGCTTGAAGTTGGGAAGCGAGATCCCCCCTGCTTTATTCTTCCTTCTCAGGATTGCTTTGACTATTCGGGGTCTTTTGTGGTTCCACATGAATTTTAACACTATTTGTTCCAGTTCATTGAAGAATGCTGTTGGTATTTTGATAGGGATTGCATTAACTCTGTAGATTGCTTTAGGCAGGATGGCCATTTTGGCAATATTAATTCTTCCTAGCCAAGAGCATGGGATGAGTCTCCATTTGTTAGTGTCCTCTTTAATTTCTCTTAAGAGTATCTTGTAGTTTTCAGGGCATAGGTCTTTCACTTTATTACCTTTTAATTATTTTCTCAATTTACCAAGAAGTTTAGAATCAGGACAATATACATTTTCCAGAACATGATTTTGTTTCAGTGATAGCTATCAGAAAATAATTAATGAGCTCCAGCATGTTGAATTCCAGTGAAAAATCAGAGAACAGTGTGCATATGTCTGGTACTTGGCCTGACAATATCTAGATAGCTATATTCCTGTCCTCCTTCTTCCAGTAATTTGCTCTGAGACCTTTGGCAAATTTTTGAGCCTTAGGTTCCTCATCTATAAAATGTGTAGGTACCTTCTGTCATATTATTATAAATTTATATTTTGGGGAAAGGTTGCCTGAACAGGAAAGATTAAATGTATATGATATTTAATGTAGGATTTTATCAGTTTGTAAAGGCATGGTAATCCCAAGATTTATATAAGATTTTTTTTAGTGAAAAAAGGTATGCATACTGTAATTTTTAAAGTCCATGACAGCTGTGTAACATGTAGGTGTATGTGTATATAAATTTTAACACATACAGGGCACAATTCTAAGAAATGGGATTTCTGGAAGTGTCATGTTAGGACAGTGTGCAGAGGTGGGAGTATGTCCATGCAAGGGGCAGCCTCACTAGGTCATAATTATCAGATGCAATATTTTTGTAGAGCACAAAGAGTTTTCATATCTGCTGTTTAGTTTGATCCTTTTAGTCACTCTGAAATAAGGCAAAGATTTTCCTTTAACAGATTAGATAACTGAGGTTTCAGGATGTTAGGTACACTGTCATTGGCTGAGCACGGGCTAATCCTGAGTCTCCAAACTACTAGCTCCGGGCTCTTCCTGTTATAACAAGGATAAGAACATGCACCTTTCATTCCAGTCATATGTTCTAAGAGAAACTGTGGCTCTAAGGATGTTTTCATTGTGAAGAGATCCTGTTTACTTTGCATATTCTGGAGAAGGCAACTTATCTTTAGGAACCCCCCTTTTTTCTTAGGGATACTTTTTGCTTAAGATCCCAGTAGTCCTTCTAGAACTGTGTTTCTCGGCGCTGTATTGTAAAACAATGACAGGATATTGTAGGCATGGGAGGGGCTTAGTCAGTCATTTATTCATTTACCCATTTATCAAAATGTGTTGCTCACATATTATATGCCAGGCACCATTCTTAATTTATAGATACAGTGATGGGGAGATTCAGTACCTGCCCTTGAGGAAACATCTTTATAGCTTAATGGAGGAAATATAAATAAAATTGACAATTAGAATTAAATATGGTAAGAATTATAGTAAAAGTATATATAAGTGGTACCCATTGTAAGATCATTGAACAGATTACTTCATTTGTCTTTCCATATCTAGTACCAGACATAACCCTTCACTCTCTAAATGTTGAAATAAAGAGGAGCATGGGGAGAATAAATACACGTCTTCCTGGGATGATCAGGGAAGGTTTCTCAGAGGGTGGACGTGAAAGCTGAAAGGTTTTGTTAGTCAAGGGTACTTCAGTCTAAAGAAACAATATGTATAAAGGCACAGAAGCTTGAAAAAATGTGATATATGTGGGGAGGTAGAAGTTATTGCTTTCATATGAAGCAGGAGGGTGGAGATGAGGCTGGTCCAGCAGTCAGGGACCAGGACCTGAGTGCCCTCGTCTGCCATGCTGGGAAGCTTAGCTTTTGTCCTGTAAATGTGAAGCATCAATGAAGAATTTATTGTGCTTCCCTCAGTTCCAGAATACCCTAAAAAAATCAGAAGAAAATCAGAAAAAATGAAGAAAATAAAAAAAGCAAGAAGACTAATGACAGTATTTGTATAGAACTATACAAATTTGTGAGACATTTTTCTGTCACCCATTATCTAGTTAAATCTTCACAGCACTCCTGCGAAGTGTAATTATTATCTTTTAACTACTGATGAGGAAATTATGTCTTAGATTTGTTTTCATTCTCTCATTCATTGAGCAGATATTGAGGCACATTCTAGGAATGGAAATATAGTGATAAACAAAATGAAGTCACTTCCCTTATAGAGCTTATACTCTTCTGAGGTGATATGCCCAGCTAAAAAGAGGTGGGGCTAGACTTGAACAGAGAGAATCTGATTCAGAATCTAGGCTCTTTCACTCTACTACACTGTCTCTAAATACCAGTTGCATCTGTGAATGATGAAAATGTCACTGAATGCTTTTTGCTTTAGTTGGTCTTGTAGCTCACACACTTAGCCTTCTGTTCCCCTAACTGCTTAATTTGCTAAATTGTGAGGTGGAAGAGGAAGTTGATAAAGGTATAAGGCTTATTCTTTGGGAATCCTGGTTATACTCCTTTAAATTGTCTCTCCAAGAATTTATAGTCTTATTTTATAAAACGAATGTGCAACTAACAAGAAGCTCTACAATTTGATTTTTATAATAGAAAAATTCATAGTGTGGGTTTAATTTTCAAATTTAATTTAGATGTCACAGAAATGCTCCTAGCAATTTAGAAATGCCTGTAATCACTATTTAATTCTACCTGTAGCAGTACCTTGATGATAACACCGTGGAAGCTGTGGCTTTTCGGAAGAGTGCAAAGGAATTGCTGCAACTGGCAGCCAAAACATTAGAGAAATTGGGAGTGCGGTTCTGGCTGAGCAGTGGAACCTGTCTAGGTAAAATTCATGTTCTAAGTTTGTCTTTTGGTCATTTCTTCCTTAAGATGACAAAATATCAGTGATATTCAAAGTGTCATATTTATAGACAGAATAAACAGTGCATGGAGCAAGGATTTATTGATTTTTTTTAAATAAATTAATTTCAGAAACAAAGAAGAGTTAGGAAGGCTGTGTTTGTCTTTTCCAAAAATTATGTCATGTTTAAAATTCATGTTAGAACATGTAGACCACATTTGATTCTCAGGTAATCCTTAGATTAGCATTTTATTATTTCTATCCCAAAGATTGTTATTGCCTTTAAAAAATTCCTCTATTTTGTTTCTTTACCTACACACCGTACAAACAAGTTGCGTTGCTCCAAAAGTTTCTAATGGGAAGAAGATTGAAGGAAGTGCCATAAGGTCTTCCCAGGTCATTGCTAGTGTCACTGGTTGTCCATCACGGCCTTACCACATTCTCTTCATTCTGAGATGGGGAAATACAGACTTTTCTGGAGTTGTTATCAATTGCTATTAGAATCTGAGAAAGATTTCTGGGTCTCTTTCCACAATACACTTTTGGATTTAAAACTGTTTAGAGTCTTATATTTTGTTGTTTTATTGCCTCTTGTTTATAGCTGTAGTTGGTTATATGTGTTCTTTCTTGGTTATAACTGTATTTGCACAAAAGTTAAATATGCTACTGCTTCTATAGGATTACCATATAATTTATTGTCCAATTCAAGAGACTTTTGAGAATGAAAAGGAGCATGGTTAGTAATTATGTTGCTACAAAAGGTGTAAACTGGGATATGTGGTTATCCTACCTATTAGGCTTCGTGGAAAATTCACCTGGTTCTTCCTGTCAAGAAGCTTACAGTTAGAGTAGACCAAAAGTGAGTACATCTCACACATTTATGTTATATATGCTTTAAGGCTAACTTTTATTTTAATCACATTGAATTTTTATCTTATATTTTTGGAAAACATCATTAGACATCTATAGGCATAGTTTTTTTTAAATTGAAGTATAGTTGATATACAATCTTATATTGGTTTCAAGTATACAACACAGTGGTTCATCAGTTATCCATATTATTAAATCCTCACCCCCACTAGTGCAGTTATCTGTCAACACAGAGAGATGTGACAGAATCATTGGCTGTATTCTCCATGCTCTACTACCATCCCTGTGACCAACTTATATTATGATTGAGAATTTTTATGTCCCTTTATCCCCTCACTCTCCCCATCCAAACACCCCAATGTCTTCCCAATTGTAACTTCCAGTCACTTCTCAGTGTCTATGAGAAGTGTTTTTATACTCCACAAGTATGTGAAATCATGTGGTATCTGTCTTTCTCCACCTGGCTTATTTCACTGAGTAGAATACCCTCTAGATCCACCCATGTTGTTGCAAATGGCAGGATTTCTTTTCTTTTTATGTCTGAATAATATTCCATTGTATATGTGTGCCATGTCTTCTTTATCCATTTATCTATTGATAGACACTTAGCTGCCATATCTTGCCTATTGTAAATAATATGATGATAAACATAGCAGTGCATATATCTTTTTTGAATCAGGGATTCCATTTTCTTTGGGTAAATTCCTAGAAGGGGAATTACTGGGTCATACTGTATTTCTATTTTTAGTTTTTTTGAGGTACCTCCATACTGCTTTCCACAGTGGCTGCACCAATTGACATTTTCACCAACAATGTAGGAGGGTTCCCTTTTCTCTACATCCTCACCAACGCTTGTTATATCTTGTCTTTTGGATCAGGGTCATTCTGACTGATGTGAGATGATATCTCATTGGGGTTTTGATTTGCATTTCCCTGATTAGCAATGTGGAGCATCTTTTTATGTGCCTGTTGGCCATCTGTATTTCTTATTTGGAGAAGTGTCTGTTCAGGTCCTCCACTCATTTTTTAATTAGGTTTTTTTTGCTGTTGAGGTGTATAAGTTCTTTATGTATTTTGGATGTTAACCCCTTATCAGATAAATTGTTTACAAACATATTCTCCTATATTAAATGTTGCTCTTTTGTTCTATCGATGGTGTCTTTTGCTGTATAGAAGCTTTTTAGTTTGATGTAGTCCCACTTGTTCATTTTTTATTTTGTTTCCCTTGCCCAAGGAGATATGTCCAGGAAAAAATTGCTTATATTTATGTTCAAGAGATTTTTGTCTATGTGTTCTTACAAGAGTTTTATAGTTTTATGTCTTATATTTAGGTCTTTAATCCATTTTGAGTTAACTTTTGTGTATGGAGTGAGACAGTAATTCGGTCATTCTCTTGCATGCAGCTCTCCAATTTTCTCAAAACCAGTTATTAAAGAGGCTGTCTTTTTTTAATTGTATATTCCTGGTTCCTTTATCATATATTAATTGACCATGTATATGTGGCTCTCTATTCTGTTCCATCAATCTATGGGTCTGTTCTTGTGCCACTAACATGCTGTTTTGATTACTGTAGCTTTGTAGTATAGCTTGAAGTCAGAAATTGTAATACCCCCAGCTTTGTTCTTTCTCATGATTGCTTTGGCTATTTGGGATCTTTTGTGGTTCCATTTAAATTTGAGGATTATTTGCTCCAGTTCATTGAAAATGAACTGCTGGTATTTTGATAGAGATTGCATTGAATTTATAAATTGCTTTGGGTGGGATGGCCATTTTGACAATGTTTATTCTTCCTATCCATAAGCATGGGATTAGATTACCATTATTTGTGTTGTCTTAATTTCTTTCATGAGTGTCTTACAGTTTTCAGAGTACAGGTCTTTCACCTCCTTGATTAGGTTTATTCCTAGATATTTTAATCTTTTTGATGTAATTGTAAGTGGAATTGTTTACCTGATTCCTTTCTGCTAGTTTGTATATAGGAATGCAACAGAAGTCTGTATATTAATTTCATATCCTGCAACTTTGCTGAATCTAGTCATTAGTTCTAGTAGTTTTTTGGGGGCATCTTTAGGGTTTTCTATATATAATATCATGTTATCTGTAAGTAATGATGTTTTTACTTCTTCCTTACCAATTTGGATACCTTTTATCTCTTTATCCTGTCTTATTGCTGTGGTTAGGACCTCCAGTACTATGTTCAATGAAAATGGTAAGAGTGGGCATCCTTGTCTTGTTCCTGATCTTAGAGGAAAGGCTTTCAGCTTTTTGCCATTGAGTGTGATGTTAGTTGTGAGTTTATCATATATGGAAAGGCTAACTTTTTGAAGCAAAGTCTGTTTTTTTAATAGACTATGTCATCAGGAATACTCCTTAATCATTTGTCATTCCTTAATCATTTGAGTTTTTAGTTCCATGGCTTTCTAAATTTAAAGGCATTTATAAAATGAGGGATTTGGATTAGATGATTTTTAAAGAGATTTCTATTTTTAATAGTTTATGATTCTTTGATAGGTGTGGATTATAGATTTTTCTCAAACTAGGGGTGAAACTCCATTCTGTGGTTCTGAAGGTCTATATTAAAATGAAATTAAAGTTTTGAATTCCAAACAGTATCACCCAGTAGAAATGTCTATAAAGGAAATCATAAACATTTATTTACTTTTTTAATAATTTGGATGGAAGGATTAGAAAGATAATAGAGGAAACCCAGAAGCTTTAAATAATGTAAAGGTATAAATTTTGGTTTTTTAGAAAGTATTATAGCACTTAATTGAAAGGTAGATGCATAGTAAAATATCTAGAAATATCTTTTTATGGTGTGCTGAAAATTAAGGCTGATGCTGCTCTTCTTTTTTATCTGACCCGTCAGACATAAGCTGTTCAGAGCTTTAAATTCTACAAATTACTGCTCATGAGAGGGATATTGATTAAACAAAAGAATTAAATTATTTGTTTTAGCATGTCTTAAAGGTAGCTTTCTTTAGAGATTTATGGTTAAACATTTCAAAAGTAACTTAATTTTTTTTAATGTGTAGCCCAGTTAACATTATTAAAGCTGGTAGTTTATTCAGAAGTTAAAATACATCATGAAAATTTTTGAGGATGCTGAGCACTCAGACCAGTAAAAATAAAGGAAGTAAGGAATGAAAGAAAGGTTCTTCAATAGGTGGCTCCTATCACCACAGATTTAGTTTGAGATTTAATTAAAAAATAATAATTTTGGTAAAGTACTCTGAAAGTCTAATCCTCTGAAATAAAATCCATTGTAACAAAGATTATCCATTATAATAATGGATAATTTTTCCAAACTTCAGTTTTAAAAAAAGTTGTCCTTTTTTTTTTTTTTTTTAGGATGGTATCGGCAGTGCAACATTATTCCTTATAGTAAAGATGTCGACCTAGGAATTTTTATACAAGATTATAAATCTGACATTATTTCAGCATTTCAGGATGCAGGACTTCCACTCAAACACAAATTTGGGAAGGTCAGTAATAAAATCTGCTTTACTTCATAAGTGACATATCTCAAAAGCAGAGTTTATATTAAGCAATTCAGAGATGTTTAAGAATGTTGCATATATCATTTTATCATGCAGTATTGGCCAGGATGGGTTCAGCTTAAGCTTGTTGCCACTTGTAACTTCTGCACTACTTAAAGGAAACTGGAAAATCGGACATTCTGTTGACAATGAGGAGAGAAGGATCTTAGATTTTTACACATGAACTTATTGCCATATATTAGACAACATTATAATATGTAATTAATATAACGTGTAATAAATAATTAATATAATAAGAATCCTACCTACCCTGCCTGAAGTTATATTATTTTTCATGAGTCATTTAATTTAAGTTTACTTAGGCATTATATCATTATGAACATGAAACAGTCAATTGCTAAGGGTTAAAAACATAAAATCATTTCACACAGTACTTGAATTTCTTGTTTATAGCAGTTTTATAGCAGTTTTCTCAGAGGTCAACTAGTAATAGATCATCATAGCTTAGATGAAATCTCCTTTTAGACCATTTGATTCTAATGCTCTAAGCCCAAAAAGCCTTGCAAGCACCTTACTCTTAATTTGCTTGTTCCCAGGGAGATGTTGGCCTGGAAAACAAATAGAAGTATATTTAGTCGCTGGAAATTACTTTCCTCATCATAATCTTTCTAGTTTATTAAAAAATTAATAAAATATTTTCCTGTGGTCAAAGTCAAAGCAATACAACTCTGGTCATCCATCAAGGGTTTCCTTAGCACTCACTCTATGCCTGTTACAATGTTCTGCACCTGGGATACAAGGATGAGTAAGTCACAGTCCTTACCCTTGAAGAGTTCACTTTCTAATTGGGAGGAAAAAAAATGCAGAAATAATTATTACATGCTATAACAAACAGATGCACCAAATCCAGTGGGAACATAATTTGTAGAGCAAATTTCCTACTGAAATGTTTTCAGAATTCCTTGTACCTTAAACTGTTGTTTCTTTTTTTTTTTCATGTACATAATAAAGTGATCTATGATAAGTATATGAGTTCCTGTAATACCACTTTACCTAAGTATTTATTGATTGGTTGTGATGAGGTTTATTTTCCAACAGCTTAATTGGTCATTAAAAGGGAGTACTTTTTCTTTGGTCCTTTTCCTTCTTTGGTCAGAAAAGAATTCAGGAACAGGATGTTCTGCAATTATAATTTGACTACCTTAAGTCATTTACTCTGAGTTGTCAGTTGTAAGAGGCAACATTATTTCATATGCATTTAAGAAAGAAATTTAACAGTGGTGTGGTACTGATACATCCCAACTTCAGAGGTGCTTCAACTTGAGAAAACATATATTTTAAAATCAATACTTTCTCTCTAAAAACATAAGAATCTTTTTTTTTAATTAAAAAGTTACATTTCTTTTGTTTCAGTCTGTGAAGGTTTTCATCTTTCCCTTAGGTAGAAGACAGCTTGGAACTATCTTTCCATGGAAAAGATGATGTGAAACTTGACATTTTTTTCTTCTATGAAGAGACTGACCATATGTGGAATGGAGGCACTCAGGCCAAAACAGGAAAAAAATTTAAGTATGAATCAGATAAGTACTTATTAAAGGGGATATAAAAATAACTTCAGAAGGTAGAAATAAGGAAGTAGATGAAAATAGAAAAAAAAAAGTCGTCAGGATTTCACTGTTAGCTAATCCTTCCTTAGCTTACCCACATAGCCCAGGCATGCTTTCCAAGTGAGGACTGCCTGTAGGGACAGTCTGTGAGCGTGAAGTGCTCCTACATTTGTCAGTCCAAAGAGTCATTATGAGTAGAAGCCCTTCAGTCATCGGAAAGGGAAAACCAAAACAAGGAATGCAAAATCCAAGCCCAGAGCCTGAGCCAAAAAACTGATTGTCTGTTAGAGCTGTAGGAGCTTGAGAATTTAATGGAATGGGTAAGGGTCTGTAAGGAGATAGTCAGGGTAAGTGCAGGTTAGGTGAAGAAATTGGGACTGAACCAGGCTGAGGTCATGAATGCTGGGCAAGCTCTCAAATGCACTTTTAACAGACTGTGGACTGATCCGAAGGGATACTCATTGTGCTTAACAGCTACCATATTTGGTCAAAGATAAGGTGATACAAATTTTAACATGCACCATTACTTTATGTAGACAAACACTGCCAGTTGTAAGACACATGATTCACAAATGGAAAAATTGGAGGGTGGGGGAAGTCTCAAAATTGATGGAATACAGTATGTTAGATTGGCATTGTTAACACTTTTTTTAATGCTGCCATAGTAAAATTTTTTGATGAGAAAAGACAAAATAGCATAAGAATAACTATGCTCTCTTTTACCATACAATTGACTTATTCTCAGTTCTGAGAGAGAACGAATGGGAATGAGAACCCAAAGAGTGTGGGCTTTGGAGTCAGGAAGGCCTGGGAAATCTCAGCTATACCCTAATTTAGCTTTCCTGAACATTAATCTCATCTGTTAAATTTGGTTAGTACTAAGGTGTGTCAGGCCCTATTATGAACATTTTACATTTGTTAATGTCTAATCCTCATGACAACCTTAAGAGGTAGACATTCTGTGAGACAATGAGAATTTAAGTAATTTGTTCAAGATCACACGGCAGGTAAGTGAATAAGACAGACAGCAGCCTGTCTCAAGAGTTGATGCTTTTAAACACTACTCCCCACTGCCTCCCTAATACACCTGACAACATGTGTTCCTTAGCATAATGGTTAGTACTTACTAAGTTATTGGTAAATGGCGGTTGCCACTGTTATTATTTAATATTACTAATATTATGATTACTGATGTAAAGTCACTATCATTACTGTCATTACTATGGTTTTTATCTGGCCAGTAGCATAAATTAACCTCATCAACTAGCCAAGATTGGGGGTTCTGTCATGGAATGAATTTGAGATGTTGAGCACAGTGTGGAATGTTCTGTAACACAGAAGAGAAATTTCCAAACTCAGACTGGTTTCTGCTGGGTTTGCTGACATACCCACTGAGGTCACTGAATCTTTTATTTGAAAGAGGAGTCTTCATGTAAGGTTTAAACTCGTGCTGGGGGTTTGAAAGTAATCCAAACTTAACCCTTTTGTTAAAGTCATAAACTATCCCCAAATTGACATCGACTCTGGAGCATATTCTTGAAAATTTTATTTATTGTAGGAAATTATTTTGCTTTGTGACAACAGGTGCATTCATGCTGGATAAGCTCCAGTTATAAGACAGATTAAGTTAATGTATAATTGACACTGTGGCTAGGTGAATGGGGGTGTTTTTGACATTCATGCTACAGTTTGTTTATTTGAAATATGATCAAGGTGGCAAACAATGTATAATATAGAGACTTTAAAAAGCTGTAAGATAGTATGGCATAGAAATTAAAGGCATGGAGGCATTCTGCTTGCTTTTGAATCCCAGCTCTACATTTTACTAGCTGTATTACTTTGAGCAAATTATTTAACCCTGTGCCTAAGTTTTCTCAAGTGTAAAATGGGAAAAGTAATAGAAATTGATACATACAGTGGTTTTAAGGATTAAGTGAGTTAATATACAAAAGGGTTTTGAAGAGAATTAAGCATGTCCTAAGTGCTAAGTAGTTATTAGCTGCTGTTATTAATATTACTAGTAATAATAGTGGTAAAGAAAACTATTCCTCTTCTTAATCTTATGAGAAATTTATAGATTAGAAACCTGTATAATTATCTCAATATTAAACTGCCAGATCTAAGAGAACTCATATGAGAATGTCATCTTTTTTTCTAAGAAAGATAATTTCTAGAGCTAGTATTATAATCCTGTTATTCTTAAATCTCCTTCTAAGGCTTGAATTTCTTATCACTGATAAGATCTGAAACCCACAAACCTCAAAAGAACTGTTCATTTCTAACCACTACATTTCTGGATAGAAAGAGCTTCTTTCATTCTGCTTTAACTGCTCTTTATGGTAGCAGTATTTGGGAAGTGTGAAGTATTCTGATTATTTAAGAAGAGAAATGAGCAGTAATAGAACTGTCTGGACAGATGGTGTGAGTCCCAGATTTTCTATCATGTTACCATGGCCTTAAAAGGCAGAGAAAAGAACAGGGGATGGCTGTGTAGAGTTTCTTTGGAAGAGTCCCCCAGCCATATGCCAATTTCATTCTTTTGAGTACTGTTTACTGTAAGGAACTGTAGTATTTTCACCACTACTATTCTTAGAGGGAAAAAAAAGTAAAAACCTTTAGAGCTAGTCTAGGAGTCTTTTTATCTTTATAATATTCAACTTTGTATTCATATATAGTTCTGAGAAAATCTTAATAATAATATAGAATGCTTGCCATTTTTTTAAGAGGATGAAAAGGAATTCAGAAAGGTAGAAAAAGTTGCCCCTTTTAAAACTTTATTCTGTATGCCTTCAGAATGATGTCTTTGGTCCTAAGATTTTATAATAATTATTAACAGCAATAATAAAGATAGACCTACCTGGGTATCTGCTAGACATCAGGTACTATGACAGGTACTTGATGTTTATAATCTCAGATAATCCTCCCATTATTCTGGCGGGTTAGATACTCCCAGATAGAGAGGAGGAAACTAAAGCTCAGAGAAGTGAAGTTAACTTGCTCAAGGTCATCTGGCCATAAATGGCAGGACCAAGATTTAACTTCAGACATGTTCAACTCTTAAGCCTAAATGCTTTCTTCTAACATTTAATAGGCTGAATGAGTTAATACATGTAATGCCTTTAGAACAATACCTAGCACACATTAAGTACTGTATAAGCATTAGCTACTACTTCTATCATTACTGTAGTGGTAAATATGTTGCTCTGGCACAAAGCATAGCACCTTCAGTACAGTGTAACTTGGATTGCAAGCGTTTTCTTCCCACGTTCCATATTCATTCCATCCTTAGTCTCAGTCTGAATCCATTGTTTTACCTAAATCTAAATTCCATTCTTAAATATTGTCTGGATTTTTTATATTTTTCCTCTCCAGAGTCCCAATCACCAGTAATAAAAAGTGGTGAATATAACAAATACACCTCCATGAAGCAAAGTTTTTATTTCACAATTTCACAGTTCCTGCAGATGTTCTCCAGACTTCTTTGGGTTATTTCTTCCCTTCCCATCTTAATCAGTGGATATAAATAGAGGTCAGAAGTTTGAGAGGTAGTAATAATAAAAATTAACTTCTATTGAATATTTACTATGTGCTAGGCACTATCCAACCTTTCACATGCATCATCTCATTTAACCTTCACAAATTTATAAGAGAGATTTTATTACTGTCACCTTAATTTTATGAATGAGGAAATTAAGGCAGATTCAGATCTAAGACTGTATCATTTCAGAGTCCATATTCTTATCCATATGCAATGTTAGTGTCACCATAATGTCTAATTGTTAATACTTCCTCCATGAAAATAGCCCTTCTATTTATTGAGACTGTCAAGGTAATACAGCTATTTCTGAATCCTCTAATAGGAAATCTACTACCCTCTGGGCTAGTGGTAGGTTCCTTATAACTTCTGAGATTTGCAGTTTCTGCTTATTCATACATAGATTTGGATTTGTCCTCTGTGGGACTAAACTGTCATCAAAGTGTGGTTCCTATATAATTTAACATTTCATTTTTGTAAAATGTATTTGCTAACACTCTGTTCTAAGGATTCTGATGTGAGCAGAAGCTAGTTTCTACTCTTAAGGATTCATAATCTAGACCATGAAACAAATATTCTATCAATAGTATAGTAATTGAAGTATGTGTTATGTATTGTATGATAAGCTTAAAACATGTAGAAATAGTCATAACAGTAGTCAGCATTTTTATAGCTCGCTATATATGTGTTAGACACTATTTAAGTACTTTACATTTGTTTATTCATTCTTTGCTAATATCTCTGTGTTACTATTAGTACCCTCATTTTATAAATGAGCACATTAAGGCACAAAGAGATTGACCAAGGTTATACAACTAATAATTGGCAGAGCCAGGATTTGAGTTCAGACAGTCTGGCTCTAGACTTTAAAATATGTTCAAATATGTAATTACTTAGAGTAAATGTTAACAGACTAAGCTAAGCTATAAAAAGACAAAGATTATCAAATGGGATAGCAAAACAAAGTTTAGCTATATAATGCTTGGCAGGAGGCACACCTAAGGCAAAATCACACAAAAAGTTTAAAAATTATAGTTATGGAAAAAGATATACCCCAATATTATTAACCAAAGAAAACTAGTGCTATAACTTCAGTGTCAGACAAAATAGAATTTTAGGGGGACAATATTAAAGAATTAAAAGGTACATGACATGATTTTACAAATTTACAGACCACCAGGAAAAAATAATGTTCATGAGCTTGTATGACTTTAACAGTATGGCATTTCAATATATATATATCAAAATATTTTGGTGAAATTTTAATGAATATTTGACTTATCACAGTTATGAGAGATTTTGATATACTTTTAAAATTGCAAATTAATTAAGAAGAAATTAGTTAAACTATTGAAGATCTGAACAAAATTGACAGGCTTGGTGTATCTGATATATATACATATATATTAAAGTCCTCACCTAACAAATGCTGAATATACTCTCTTATCTGCAATATGTGGACCATTTATAAAACTTGATCATGTACTACATCATAAAGGCAATCTTCATAAATTTCAAAACACTAATAAAAATCTTCCTCTGTGTGTAATTTTCCATATTGACAGATTAAAGGGGAAAACCTACATGATAATTTCAATAGATGGCATTGTATGACTACAGTGGAATTAAATTAGAAATAAACACGACTAAAAGACATCTTTAAAAAATGTGGAGACTTTAAAATGTTCTTTTTAATAACTAACAACTTAAAAAGGAAATTATAGAATTATAAATTTTTTAGGACTGAAAGATAATGTACTACATATCAAAACTTGCAGGATGTGGTTAAAAGGATCAAGGTAAATTTGTAGCCCTAAAAACATTAGGCATGAAAAAATATATTTTAAAAAAACAAAGTAAGATATCAGTTGAAGAAAGTAAAAAAGACAATACAGTCAGCCTCAGGACAGTTAAAGAAGCAAGCCAAGAGAGGAAATTTATAAAACAATAATAAATAAGAAATAAAAAACAGTATCAACAAATCCAAATGCTGCATCTTAAAAAAGTAAATTAGAAACTAGGAAACAGATATCTAGCAACGTTGACCAAGAAGAAAAGACCCAAGATGTCTGGCTTTAGAGTTTATACTCAGTTTAACTATGTTACACTGCCCCTCAAAAAAGAAAATTGCTAAGTGACTTTAAGTTAATAAATATGATAATTAGCTAAAATGTGAAAATGATAAAAAACTTCCTGGAAAAAGTATGTGTCAAATTCAACTCAAGGAAATCTAGATAACCTTTTCTCACTAAATAAATTGAGTTAGTAATCAGAAATACTCCTTTCCCCCTCTTTTCCCTGCCCAAAGACCTGGGAAGTTTACAGGGAGGTTTTATCATTCCTTCACAGAAGGGATTATTCCCAATATTATATCACCCATGTCAGAAAATAGAAGAGAAAAATGCTGTAAGCAGCTCATTTTATGAGCCTTATAACAAAGCTGATGTGGACAATACTAAAAAAAAAATTATGTCTTTGAACACTAAATCCTAAATGAAACACAACGTATATCTTTGAACACAGAATCCTAATGAAGTACAAATGACTAGAATTATCTAGTGTGTGCGCATTAGTGTAAACCTCATATTAAAAGATTGAAGGGAGAAAAAACCTATATAATTGTTTCAATAGATGACATTAAAAACTTCTTTTGGATAAGTTTAATAATTAACCAAGAGAAAAAGCAAAAGGCCCTTTAAGAAACTTGGAACAAAAGGGATCTGGAATTTCTTTAACCTGGTAAGAGGAATACACCAAAAACCTAGGGTGAGCAATCTTACTTAATGTTAAAACTTTAGAAGCCTTTCTATTAAAATCAGAAAACATCACACGTACTGTCCCTGCTTCTATTAAGCAGTGTGCTAGAGGGCTTGGGCACTGGAATAAGAGAAAAAAATTAAGAGTCAAAGAAAAGAAAAAATTGATAATGAGAATAAACCTTTTATGTTGTTTTGCAGGAAATTATTATTTAAGAACATTATTAATGTAGGGTCTTCTCTTCCAACTGCAGAGTTTAATGCAAAGTTATGTTTAAAAAAGTCAAATTCAGTTGTAATTGGTGGTGTCTATATCTCAGCCTAGCTAACAAGTAATAAATACAAAGTTTTTCATTTAGCAACTATGTTTTAGGTTATAGAGTTAAACTGATGAAATAGGCTTACCAACTACATTTTCAAGTGTAAGAATGTCTGCGAGGGAAAAACTGGTCTACTCCTTTTAATTCTAACTACTGTTTTACACAAAAATAAAATGAGGTAAAAATGGCATGAAATAGAAAATGAGTGGAAGGATGTGTGTGTGTGTGTGTGTGTACTAAGATCCCTTGAGCTTATATTCTGATTTAAGGTTGCCTTATTCTGATTTAAGGTTGCCTTAGTCTGAATTTAAGTCTGTTCACATTTTGGATCATATCTCAGCTTTAAAATACAAACTGCTCAGCTGAACTTAATCTTAGCTTTAAAGGCTAAGGTAACATTGCAGACCCATGATGTATTATATAGTCTTAGTCATTATTTACTGGTAACCTGGGCAGAGTTCATGGCATGCGCTATTCTTTGTCACTCATCCCCTCCTTCCTCTCCATGATCCCATTTTACAATCAGTTTTTACATTTTTTGGTTTGTTTATCTTTCACCTTCTCCTAGGAAGCAGGAATTTTCTTTTTGCCAAATGAATTGAAAATTATTTGGTGAAAAGAAAACAACAAAGAGTTTAGGGATGTTTCTATTTAAGCACAGAAATTAACATTTGAGTTAAATTGTCTTTGAGGTACTTTAACATTGTTTATGTATTTAAAATGTTTAATTTTTGTTCATAAATCTTTCATTGTTCAAAATACTGCTTTTGTAAAATTTTTAGTATTCTCATCCATCCTGGACTTACGTTTTTTCTTTCTTTTACCACTTTGATGATACTGTAGAGGCTAATATTTAAAAGAGAAGTTTCTTGGCCTGTGTTACTAGATAGATCATGATTTCTGTCTCATTTGAACGTAATTGTGTCAGTTTGATAGGAAGGGACAGGTGGGCATTCTGCCGACCAGAGCTGATTGGGGAGGGTGGAGGCTGGTGATGGATGGATATGTCTGCTGACAAAATGTGAATATGACTGTGCAGAGTAAAACTGGGACCAGCAGATGGGGAAGCTGTGCTGTATCTTATTTCTTCTTCCTCAGCTATGTGATTTGCAGTGGGCATCTTTTCAAAGAAACCAGCTGGGATTGTCTGTGACTGCCAGCACCCACTGATTAGAGTAAAAGAGACTCTTTGCTTTCTTTAGAATTTGTTCAGCCTCTCATTTTCCTGTATGGCTTTATGTTCATCTGGTGGCAAATTGTGACACTCAAAAAGCAGAAAGAGAACTGACCTTTCCTTGAAGAACATTCACACATAGATCCCTTTCCACAATATGATTACACTTTGACATCTGGTTTTTCCCTTTTTCTTTATTTTCAATTTCTATGATCTCTGCTATTGCTGCTTCAAATCTCATTGTTGAAAGTTCTTGCCATGTTGTGAAAGGAAGAAAATTTTCAGAAAACACCAATGCAGAATATAGGGCTATAATACAAACTTAAGTCTTATAGACCTGCTAGTTTTAGCTCTCTTTAGTAATACATTGAATTTAACTTACTGATCCAAAGTACCTTTAAGATACATGTTTTGGTTTAATTTCTGAAACTTACCTACTAATTGAAATAGTTCTGCTATAGATAGAATAAAATTCATTATAACTAATATTCCTTAGGCTGGCTTAGAAATGTTTGTTAGCATTTGAGATGAAAGAAAGAGAGGCAGAAACTACAGTGGGTTCATGTGAGGGATGGAAGCCTGGGAATGCATCTTGGAGTCCTGCTTGCTCTACATCCTCGGGAAGTCCATGTTGTGAAAGAAAAGATGATTCACCTTACATGTGTGTTTATTTTAGTATTTCTTCTTTTAGTAGCAGTTTGAATTGATGGGGATTTAATGATCTGTAAACTATAAAAAATAATAAGAAAAGAGTAAGTTTGGAACTGAGAACAGAGATGAAAAAAGAGCAGGTGGTAAAATAAAAGAGCAGGAAGGTGGTCTGTATAGCTGTCCTTTAAGAGAAATACTGTTGAATTACAGTACATTCAAGCATTAGATCTGTATTCCTGCATTTGAGGAATGGGTGGGAATGTGAAGCTTTACTCAAAAAGCCAACTTAGTGGGTTCCACCATATTCATGTACTGTGGTGTGACCTACTCACTTACAGTTTGATTCAGGAAAGGAATTGAGAAACGCCTGGCTGACCCTGGGTAGGTCATCCATCCAAAGCCACCTGGGACCATAGTGAACCCAGGACAAAGAAATTAATACAACCTGTCACAAAGGCATCTGTGCTGCTGATGTTGAAAAATATCCTGTATTTCCAGGATCAATGCAGGTTCTCTGGCCAACAAAGAGAGTTTTGTTTCCTTTGTCAATGTTACCTGTTCCTCCCTCCATGTATTCAGAATTGCAAGTGTTTGAAATGTAGTCAAAAAGAGTATTTATATATTT